TCAAACGGACAGAATGCTCATACGCCTGCAGCAGGACAATCCTCGGACGGCACCACAGACAACATCATCGCGTCAATGACCATGGATGACTACATGGAAAAGCACAGACTCGGTAAAGGAATTCGAGGGTGTGGTTCTCGCAGAAGCTGGACCAGAATACACCTCCGCGGTAACACGGTGTCTCGATAGCTTCATCAACATGAAGGGTTGCAGAGCGAGAAGTTCTGTCAGGAGTTTTATGTCGACGTGATCTCCATGCTGCAGGAGGCGCTCGACAAGTCGATGGAACTATGAGAAAGTAAGTCAGCCGAGTTCGACCTCACCTACCCTTTTCTCCATGCACACACACCAAAAAAAAATAAAAAAAAAAAAAAAAAGGGAGAAAGGAGGGAAAGAGCGAAAGCAGGGAGTATCTCACGTAGGCCGCCATTGCCTAACTCTATGGCCTCAAGTCACCGTTCAACATCGAGGAAGACCCAGAGTGGAAATAAGCAACCATTTCAGCCTCAGCTCAAAGTGTATCTGTTTAACAAAGGTTTTAACACTCTCAGTGTCACAGTTCCGTTTGGGGGCCCTACAAATTCCGTTAGCTCCGGAAAATGATCCACCCCGGCTAGATACCATACCTCGAACCTCATAACCTTCAGTCAGAACACTCACCATCGGCAAGAAAAAGAGTACCTCTCGGCAATGTGCAACATCGGTATAGCTCGAGAACTAACCAGCCCGGCCATAACAGGCACAAATAATTACATGGACGATCACCCGCCAACCAAAGGAATCTAGAAGAGACGTTGGTCGTATAGTGTTCAGGTGTGGTGGATCTCAAGGTTATTTCATACCTGTCTTCCCTGCGATATCTTTCTTTCTTTACTGGTATACTTTCTCCGGATTGTGGTAGGGTTTGTTGTGGGTAGAGGATTTTATGACAAGGAAAGTGGACAATAGGAGAAAAAAGATGTTAGGTCGACGGAAAGAAAGGTCATGCATGTCATGGAAGTTTGCTGGACAATTTCGCCAAACGATCCATGACCACCTTATCTGCCAGCAAAAAGGATACCTACAAACAAAATGGGTGATATGAATGGTATGCCACTGTCAAATCGCTTCTGTGACAACATTCCGCCGTTGAAACTGAGTGAGCAATAAGAGAGTGGGCATGCGTATCATTTCCAATTGACGTGCCGTACGTCGGCATATGGAGCTGTTTACCTATAGGAATGGGCGCATTTGACATCCTCCTGCCCTAAGCACCTAACGACCTAACACAATGAGGTAACGGAATAGAATCTCTCAGTAACTCGACAGGCCAGGCAAATGAAATTGTCTCGTTACCCGTCTTGGTCATGAAGTGTCTGCGGGAACTCGCGAAGACAAGGCTATCAGCTGAGTGTCCCTCTCAGAAGCACAATGCGTCAACCAGTCGAAGCCAGCCCTATCAGCTCCCAGAGCGAAGGTGGGGAGAAGCCTTTCAGATAGCTCATTCTGCCCATTATGTTCGACTGGGGTAATAGAACTAAGACGACCGTTGAGCTCGTGCCACTCCACGCAGTGAATACTCGTGGTGTTGCTGTAGAACGAATGGGGGTGGTTGGGATGAACAGGGATACTGTCTCTTGTCCCCAACGTACCAATCAAAACTGAGGGTCTATGGCATCCCAGTCAGATAAGACTTCTTGACCGTCCGCCTTGGATGGAGGTCTGCATTGAACCGCAATTCGATGAAGGTTTCTTGGGCGGAAATGGGGGCTGTTAGGTCTGTGCAGGATCATGGACCACACTCACCAGGTTCACCTGCGATTTCAGGCTAGCTGCAGGCTCGAGTTGAGTGTTGGAAGTGGGAAGTTGGTCACCTTTGGCCTTGACCAGTCCTTTTGGCGTTTATGATAATGGATGTTGTGAAACATAACTTCATAGACATCTAGATGAATGATGGTGGAGGAGTTGGGAGGATCCAGATGTTCGTGCCTTTTCGATAACCAGTGTCCTTATTGGACTGAGTACTGGTCAATACTGAAACCCAGCTCCTCAACTCAATGTGACCATGTAGGCTCACAAGGTAGCAGTATTGCTCGAGGATGGGCCGATGTCACGCCGTTGAAGCACGGCAGTCCGAAAGTGCCGAGAACATTGGTGTCCAGGGATCAGCTGAAATTGCGTAGCGGAAGACGAGAGTTGCCATCTGTGAGAGTGTTCCTTGTGTCGATGCTCTTGACGGCTCTTCAAGGGTCTGACAGAGAAGAGCTTATGCTCTGTCCTGTCGCAATGCTACAGCTTGAATGGATGACGGGTCGAGTACGTGCGAGTACTGTAAGCCTTCCAGCAACACTAACCATGGGCCGTCCTATATCTTCCGCCCGTCTCATATCCCATCAATTAATATGTGGGTGGTTTCCCACCCGCCGTGCCGTTCTTGATTCCCATGCGTAATCGACTGGACCGATGTGACCTGCACCAAGGGCTGCATGCGTCTCGCCTGTTCCAGCTTGACATTGGATTGAGCAAAGGAGCCGACAACTTGCCTTGAGATAGCGGAACAGAAGTCCGCCAGATTCGTAAGATCAACACTTGTAGGATACTCTGCTGATGGCGTGCCGTCTTAGAGGCGCGGACAAGTCAGACGCCGACATGACCGGCTAGCTGACAGCGGGAAGTCGTGACAGCCGAAGACCGACCCGCTTCTCTCCAATGCAAACAGCATCTACCAGAGAACGAAGAAGGGACACAACATTTGACAATTGATTGGCAAAAGACGTGCGGAGGCTGTGACTGCCTGGCTGAAATGGAGGATGATGTTGTGTTGCAGTGCGAATTCCGTCACACATGAAAGCAATGGTGGTGGAAGACTGAAGCGGAGGAGCTCTTACCCCACAGCCCGCCGAAGCACAAGGGAAAGCTCCAGTGGAGTCCCACACTTCCAGCTGGCATCCACATCCACTTCCCGGTCATTGGACCGTTGGCCGCTTGGGGGGAGAACAAGCCTGCCCCCGCCGGACATGGCCCGGGCACGCTTTCAACGGTCATCGAGACCTGGGTCAGCACATGCAGACTAGCCCAGATGAGGCAAGGCTCCGAAAGCGAGCCCCACACGGCGAGTTCCATTCTCACATCGCGACTCCTTCTATCACTCACAGGCCGTTGAGGCGTCCAGTCGACTTTGGCCGAGTCTGCTTCTCCCGCCGAGGGGGGGTTCCATGCGGAGGAGGTGGCTAGCCGAGCTCAAAGTCCATTTGTCGTTTGAGAGCTCAGGTGTAATATATACCTGTGCATGAGTGGTGGACTGCACTCTGCAGACATGCAGTGAGCTGCGCAGCGGGATGGATGGATCATGGGTGGTGGATATGGTGGTGGCATACGTATGTGCGTCCAAGCTGAGCTTGAGATTGACTTGAGCGTCTAGACTAAACAGAAACGCGTTCTCTAAAGGACGAGGCCTTACTTGAAGGACGAAGAATACAGGAGTAAAAGCAGGAGTGAAGATGAAGAGGAGATCTTGATCAGGTAGGCTGATGGTCCTGGCTGGCTACTTACACCAAAAGAATTGTAAGCTCTGCGTCCAGAAATGAACTCCATGTACGGTAGCTGCCAAACAGTCGGCAGCTTGGATGCACCTCCATGCAGACAACAACGCTGATCTGGGTGTGAAAAGGGAAGATCCAACCTCAGGAAAGCTTGCGACGTCTTCCATTCCTCCTCCTCCATTAGCTGAAGCTGGCTGCAAGAAACCTGGGGCTGATGATAGACGGCTGTTCCTTATCTCCCGTCTCCTTCAAGCTTGCAATGAATCACTCATGTCAATATGAGCTCTTTTACCTGAAATTTTCCTTCCCCTCTTGCAGCTGCCCTGTCTACTGTTTTGAAAAGTTGCCCCGTGGAAAAAGAAGGAACACGGATGATTTCGAGACAAGGGGCCTTCCCAAGTTCCAAAGCCCAGACAGTCTGAGATAGAAACAAGCGCCGGCGGCAGTCGCAGCCAAGAAGAGCGGACGGGACTTGTCAGCGGCGTTCGGACCGTGACAGGGCTCCAGCTTCAGCCCGCGGTCACTACCTTCCCGCTTCTAGAATTGTCATCATCCACTGCAGTATCTCCGGGGCAGGCAGGCAGGCAAGTAATAGGAGAGTGCGTCGAGACTCGCACCTCCCGCTTGACTCCCACTGGCTAGCGGTAGCTCGCCATCTGCAACTGAACCAGAGTTTACCGTCTTCTGTCCTTCGTGGGGACTCGTCTACATTGCCTCGTGCTCTGCTCAACAAGAAATCATCTCCATTGAGCTGAGCAGCCCGAGCCCGGGCCCTGTGCGCTTCCACTTCAGTTCCATCAACCCACCCACGCACATCAGCTCCGAAAACCCACACGGCACCGCACCGAACTCTCGCCAAACAAAAACCTCCACTTCTCTCCATCGGCCACCCCCGTTGTCGCGCCTCCCCGTCATCTCCGCCTCTCCGCTTCTCCATCCGCTTCCCCATCGGCCCATCCGCTTGACTCCCTCCTCCGTCCTCCCGTACTGTACCGACTACCGTCAACCACTGTAGCCCGTGCCGCCCCGACGTCCGCGCCCGCAGAATGTCCTTGTGATGCAACACAGCTGCCCAAGCACCCCAGCTCCCACAAGCCGCAATCCGCAGCCCGCAGCCCGTCACAGCCTTTCGTCTCGTCTCTATCATGTTGCGCAATCCAGCTCACAGAGGCCCTTGTTGATGCGTGAAGATTGGAAGAAGTTCGTCGGTGGGCTTTCAAGCTGAAGCTGGTGCAACACTGGTTGCCCAGGACTATCGGCAGTATCCAGAGGGGACTTCGGTGTTCTCGGTATCTTTTCGGCCTCGCACCGCTTTACCTATCGGGCGCGAAAATCCGTCGCTATCGCCATCGTGATCGGGTCCGGAGGCTTTCTCCAATCTTGCTCGCCTCATCTCTTACGCACTCGGCAGTGCTACCCGGTCGGCGTCAACCTTAGCGCCGGTCCCAATCCAAACTCCATTGTTCAACCACACGCGCCATGGCCACCGAACATATCGCGCCCCCTCCCCCTCCGGCGCCGGCGCAACCGGTCCAATCGCCGGCCCTCTCGCGCCCGGGCCATCGTAACTCGTTAAATGCGCCGCCGCCTCCACCTCAACCGTCGGTCCTTGCACCTCCTCCGGGCCCCGGTCCCGGCCTCAGCCACAGTCCGGCCGCCGGTACCGGACCCGGCTCCGTCGCAGCTTCCGTAGCTGCACCTCAGCAACCACCTCATCCTCACAGTCACGCACATCCTCACCCTCATATACACGCCCATCCTCATCCATCTGCGCCACCACCTTCTGTGCCCTATGACCCGTCTCTGGATCCTGCTATCAAGCACTTACTCGACCAACAAGCCGAGATTCAGGCCAAGCTGGCCGCTCTTCTTCCTCAGAAATATGGACCCAATATCAAGGTCGAGCTCGACATGTTGCGCCATAAGTACCGTGTTCTGCGCGCATATGCCGACAACGAGAATCGTGAGCTCTTCCGCCCCTCTCTCTGTCTTTCTTTCTCCCATGCCATCCACCACCCCGTCATGTCTTATTAGCCTCACGTCCGATTTGTGGGACCAACCCAAGCGCCACCCGTGCTGATGGCGCCATAAACAGTGTCGTCTGACAAGATTCCCGTCTTGTCTGACATCGAGGAAGCGAGATCACTTCAGTATCAGTGCGAATGTATTGAGAGTGCATGTCTCGAGCACGGTAGGTCACCACCGTCCCGCCTGTCTTGTCTTGAATCTGTTCTAAACTCACCTGTGTTGCCATTAGGCGTCGATCTCGGTGACCCCAGGTTTGTCGACATGCTCAAGTACGCTTTTTATCGCGACCAAGCACCGGAAGGGTATGCCGTTTGGCTAGACAGAAATCTGTCTCATTACGATCCCGTCTGCAAAGCCGTCCGGTTGCGTGACAGCTTGCCGCTGGCGTCCCGTCAACATCACTCCTACAAGTGCTGGGACGAGCGTTGCACACACTACATCTATGGATACCCTCATCCTGATGACCGGGACCAGCATGTTAAGGAGCACGCGGCCGTGTACAAAAGGGACTCAGGTCTCTCCTTCGGTGGCACCCCGCCCATGATTTTCCCCGAGCCGTCGAGTGCAAGCTATAATGGCGAATATCACAAACCGCCCTCTTCGTATCACCACCTGCCTCGTCCACACTCGGACCTTCAGCTCGCTCCCCTGGCCACAAGTAGCCAGCCAAAGGATCACCGAGAAGTCCTCAAGAGCTATTCTTTTGTCCCGGAGAAACCTCCTGGACCTCCTAGGGGGTCGGTCGACTCCGAGGTTGACCCATTACTTCCGCCCCTGAAGCGTAGCCGAGTAGGCCAGCCACGGCTGGAGTCCATAGGAGAACTCCGGCTTCCAAGGGAAAACGGGCTTTGTTTACGGTGTAGAACAATGAAGAAGAGCGTGAGTAAGAAGTCCCTACTACCCATGGGCATTGACTAACTTGTACAGTGCGATTCCAACGACCCCTGTGCTTTCTGCCCCGATACTGCAAGCTCACCGGATAATGATTTCTGGAGAGCCCTTGGGTGTTTCCGTGGATCATTAAGTAATCTCACTGATATAATGCTTCCAGGTACGTGGAGTTCTGCCGTACACGGGGCCTCATATGCTAATCAACCTCTCAGCCTATCTGTCACCCAGACAGATGCAGACACCCATGACATCTCCACTTGCTGTTCGCCGCAGCATGAACGAATTCTTGGACAGAGGTTATGCCATTGGCCAAGATGTTGCGAACATGGTAATGGCTCATCTGGATTTCAATGATCGCTTTTGGTGGACAGACGACCTTTCGAACCTGCCGCTCGCCAATCCAACCCTCGCTTCGTTCTCACAGGAACCTGTTGAACGGCCACCCCCCATTCTAAAGGTCCTTGCCTCCAGTTGGAATCTGAATGGGACCATGTACAACTTTTGGAGGCTACTGCACTTGAGCGGGTCGATCTCCGACGGGCGTATGCAGGAAATGACGACCTATCCTATCTTATATCGAGCTAAGCTTTTGCTTCGAGAAACGCTATTCTACGACTTTCAGCAGCCGGAACCCGCCATCCATGGAGAGTCGACGAGTCCCGGAAGTCACATGGTCTTCGACGATGTAGACACGTGCGGCCGCTTCCGTGTGCTGTACAACTCCATGACACAGTTTCTTCAGGCGTTTGAAGCCCAGACGATGCGGCCTACACTACCGGATCCTCGGAGCTGGCTCGCTACCTTCTACTCACTATGCATATTCAGTGTAGTGAGAACTTTGTTGGTGGACCGAATGGCGCAGTCACGGATAACTTCTCCCTCGCAGCAAGGCGTGCCTGCGATGCACGCCGTATACAAAGCGCTAGTGAGCGTATTTGCTTGGTCCGCGCCCATGCTGCTTGACGGGTCCGATATCGAGATGAGCCATGGCGATCGCGAGCTTTTAGCTTCCGCAGCCACTGTCTTGGAAAGGGGCACGTGGACTGAACGGGGTATCTCAACCACCAAGGATTTTTTGATGTATCTTGGTAGTGGGGAGATAGAAGGTCCCTATTTCAACGGGTTCCTGAAGCAGAGGTCACCAGCAAAGCCTGGGTCCTTCCTTCTGCCCCCTATTACAAGACCGGGGGAAGATGTCAGAAAGCCATTGCCAGATACACGATCTCTTGCTAATCCATGGCATTCCATGACATCAAGTCAACCAGAGAAGGAGCCCTTTTCCTACAATATTTTCAAAGGAGAACCAGATCGGATCCCAACTTCTCCTCAGGTGATGGAGGCAGGAAGACGCCATACTGTTGCCGAAAGCCCAACATATGTGAGGCCAGGTGGCCGAGGCCCAACGTCACCCATTGCTGCTGCAAGAATCAGATCCTCGTACCAGCGGCCACCGCTCCGAAGAGTGTACTGTACGAAGTGCAATGAATACCCAGAGGGGTTCAGAGGCGAACATGAACTTCGAAGGCACAATGATGCGAACACGCTGCCTTGGTTAAGAGGATGGGTATGCACGGAACCGCATGAGCCAGGCTCCCCGTTACCCGTCGTTCCACTGGCAAAGTGCAAGGCATGCGTAATGCAAAAGCGATATGGAGCCTACTATAATGCCGCTGCACATCTGAGGAGAGCGCATTTCAACCCTCACCGTGGGGGCAAAGCAAGCGGAGACTGGCCGCCCATGGCGATTCTTAAGGACTGGATGCGTGAGGTTCGGCAATCCATTGATATCCAGGATCAGGATGACGGCTCAAGTGGTGAGGATGAGACACAAGACTTCAAGTCGATGCATGACTTTATGTCACCGACTGAGCAACATGCTCCAGTGCTGGAGGCACCGCGTCTTGCCCCAGCTCCTCCACCACCTCCTCCACAACAACCACATCAAGGTCCGCCGTTACTGATGCCTTTTCTCGACAGGCTGGGTGCTGCTGGACCGCCCCAACTCATAATGCAAGGCGGTCAGGGAGTATTCCTTGCTCCCAACACGGGGTCGAAAGGTGATGAGTCACCACACCCGTCCAGCGCGACCTCATCTGCTCGCAACCGTTGTCCTATTCCTGAATGCGGCCGAGTGTTTAAGGATCTCACGGCACACATGCTCACACACATGGAAGAAAGGCCCGAGAAGTGCCCCATAGAGTCTTGCGAATACCACATCAAGGGTTTTGCCAGAAAGTATGACAAGAACAGGCATGCGCTGACGCATTACAAGGGCACAATGATATGCCGTTTGCCTGGGCCGGGACGGCATATGAGAAGGCTTTCAACCGGGCCGATGTGTTCAAACGCCATTTGACCGCCGTACACAATGTCGAACAGACACCACCCAATAGCCGGAAGTTGATACTGACCACCGGGGGACGGTCCGGTGGTGTAGGGGCCAGATGCAGCATCTGCCAAAGTCAGTTTGCCACTGCGCAGGAGTTCTACGAGCATTTGGATGACTGCGTCTTGAATGTTATCGTCCCCTCGACTCCAAGGACGGCGGGCAGCAGCAGTGCCACCACCAGGAAGGACTCTTTGCCCACAAAGACGCCAACGACCGCAAGCACTGACAAAGGGAAGGAGCTGGATATTGAGTTTGAGATGCACCGGCGCCGAGAGTCCACACACGCGTTGCCGCCGCCGCCGCCTATCCAAACATTCCAACGGGATGATCCAGAGCCAGAGCCTATGAAACAGCAAGGCCTCAGCGCCAGGGACGCACAGAATCTCAAGTTAGTTGCTGACTCTGTGCTGGAGAACGAAGCAATGCTTGCCAGTATTGGCAGAAGCGGGGCTGAGCAAGAAAGTGCTGGACCTGAAAGTCAGCCGTCTCTTACGCAGCCATCGGCCGAGACATATCTCCCCCATCCTCCGTCATATTTACCTGGACCGGCATCTGAGCCAGAGCCAGCATCCGAAACCCAGATTGCCCATATGAAGGTTCCAGAAGAACGGATGAGGATAGACATGGAAATGGTCGAGGCTGGCGACAAGCCATCCAAGGAGCAGCAGTCAAGTGGGGCGCCATCTGCTGCCGCAAGCTACGCGGAAGTGATGAGGTTGCGTCGCAGCCCAGATGTTGCGCTAGGCTCACCGGCGCCAACGGATAAGATGGACACCGACTGAGTGCAAAGAAGACGGAGAAACCGAGAGAAGATTCATGATGTGGATGTACGGACTTTGATATGCGGTTGATGAGTTAAGTGAATAATGATTTAATGGCTTCTTTTCCTCTTCATACAGCTCCCCTCTTCTGATTTCTTACTACTTATATATGATGGCCCTGATACCTGTGTCTTCTCCTTTTCTTCGCTTGAGGTTTTACTGCTGGTTTAAAATGAATTGGCGGCGGTATGCATGCGACGACTGGGCACACACGCACAATCTTGAGCTAAGGGGAACTGTCATTTTGTCAGTTTTGGACTGAGAGTCTAGGGAGCAAATACGACGAGTGGATTTAGGGTGTCCAGATGGGCACTACTTGGTGGGCTTTGCGTGCGGAAATCATGAGAGCAAGCGGCCTAGGGTGTGCGATATTATTTACCTAAGAACCGACACACATCAAGCATTTGAGGCAAGAATGTCTGATGTCTAGTCTATCCAAACCGCCACTGCTGTTGCCCCCCTGGGTTGCTATATTGCATTGCTAGCATTGCCCTCATCGCAGCTTCCGCCTCGGCTGCTCTTTTCAATGCTTCCGCTTGCATTATTTCGAGTGCCGACAGTGTGCTCCCTCCCATTGCTGGGTTCCTAACGGTAGCTCCTGCCTGTCTCCTCATTGCCTCCAAGTCGAATGGAGCGTCTTCCATCGCTGGACCACTTCGTGATCCCACTGCCCCCGTCGGGGTATCCATGGTTTCCATCTCCCTCATCATGGCACTCATATCAAATCTGTTTGCCCCCATCGCTGGCTCGTCTCGCACTCCCCAATCCCCAAGATCCTGTTCCTCCCAGTCTACCCACTCCTGTCATTGCTGGACCACTTTGCCATCCTACCGTCCCTGTCGTTGAGCTCGCTCCCATTTCCCCCATGCATGCTCCCATGTCAAACCTGTCTGCTCTCATTCCCGGCCCACTGTTCATTCCCATAGGTCCGATTCCTTCCAAACCACCCCCTTCTCCCATCGCAGCCATCCTCGCCTGCGCTTCCCTTAATCTCGCTGCCTCCTCTTCCAACATCGCATCAGCCTCCCTCCTTCTCTGCGTCTCTTCCCTCAATAATTCTACCATGCCCTCTATCCTCCCCCTCCTCGCTCCCTCCATTTCCGTCTGCAACGCAGCCGTTCTCGCTTCCGCCTCTCTCATCATCCTCTCCTGGTTCTCCTCCATCGCTCGCACCTGCCCCTCAACATCAATCCCGAATTCTCTCAGCAGCCCGTCAATTCCCTCACTCGGTGGTCGCCTGCTAGCTTCAATATCCACCCTAATTCTAGCCCTGATATCCTCCGGCCCTCCTCCTATCGCATGTCTCATGGCTTCCATCTGTCCTTCTATGGCCGTCATCGCTTGTTGTGTCCTGGCCCTGGTATCGAAGCCAGGAATGATAGGGCCCATCATCCCCCCTAAGCCTGATCCAGACCCAAAATCAGATTGCATGTTCCTAAACTCAGCGGTCATACTCTCCTCCAATCGTCTGCACGTCTCCTCCATCCCTCGAACCGTCTCCTCTTCCATTAGCCGTACCATTTCCTCACCCTTTCTTCGTTCTTCCTCTTCTAGGATCTTGATCCTGATCCTTTCTGCTTCGTGCTCGGCAGCAAGCCGTTGGTCTTTGAGGTATCGTTCTACTTGTTCCTTGAATGGCCGGTAGGTTTGGAGTTGGTAGTCTAGCAGGCTGGGGAACCGGGTCACGGTGAGTTTTGGTTTTGCTGGTAATGTGCTTTCTAATCCAGGTGGTGAGGCTGAAGCTGAAAGTGAAGCTGAAGGTGCTGTTTCGGTGCGGAGATTAGGATTAGGATTAGAATCAGGACCAGGAAAGAATCCAAATACCCCATCAGCCTCGGCCTCCTCGAACCACTAATCCCTTGCGTCGTCGCTGATTATTGCCAGTTCTTCAAGGAAAGGAGAGAAGCTGGATTTGAGCAGGGCGGGCTCGGGGGATTGGAAGTACCAACGGGCCATGTCGGTGTTTCTTTCTATTATGAGGCGCCTGATTTTGGTGTTGTACGCTGACTGTGGTCATGAGGCTTGGGACTGGCCCGGTAATGGTGGTGGTGGTACAAAGAGATCCAGAGAAGTTCCGTCGCGGAGGAGGATTGTGTCGACGTCGAAATTGACGTAGGCGTAGCAACGTGGCTGTTTCGGTCTGGGTGGTAGTTGTGGTAGTTGCGGTGGCTGTTGTCTGGGTCTTGGGGGTAGTCGTGGTGGTTGTCCTGGTCTTGGAGGTGGTTGTGGCGGCTGTTCGTTGTCGCTGTCGTTATCACCGTCCTCGACGTAGGCTGATCTGGGGCTGTGATTGAAGTTGGAGTTGAAGTTGGTATTGATGTTCGACTCAGACTTGGATCCAGAGCGAGGTAAATCCTCAAAAGCTCGCTCGTATGCTTGATGGGAAGCGCCAAGTTTGGTGAGGTGCTTGCGCGCTTCGCGGCAGGTGTGTAAAGGTGCTAGAACGGGAGCGGGTGAAAAAAGGCGAGGAGGTCGTCGAGGGGGAGCTGCAGGGTGAGAGGAGAAGAGTGGGAAGAGTGGGAGTTCAAGATTGTGGCACTGAGGCTCGTTGTCGAGAATTCAGGCTTCGACTGTGCGTGGAGTTATGGTGACTTCCCAGATTTGGGCACGGAGTTCCCATGGGAGGTAGGGGAAGAGGTGAAAGGTTGTGGCCATTGTGGTAGTTCTAGATGGTTAAAGGTAGGTATCAACCGGAGTCGTTGCAGGCGTATATGTGATAGCTATTCTCGTTTTCTTGTCCTTTCCTTGGGTAAATAATTGTTTTGCACGAGAAGTAAGCGGTAAGATTTGAAAGTTATGCATTCTGCGTCGTGCCGAAGGCAAAAGCAAGTGGACAATTGGAAAACAACAACAGTGTCACTCACATCTTGCTCCCGCTACCCTGCCAAACTACATATCATCCTTATAACTCCGCGTGGTGTAGTGTAATCGCTCTCAGCCTTCTTTTTCTCTTTTTTTTCAAGTGAGTTAACTAAACCAGTTTCATCGCCGCAGGTCCGCAATGTTCACTCACGTAGCACCGTAGCATCAGACTGTACGCAACTTCCGCAACTTCTGACACCTCGAATATCTGGTGCCAAAGATGTATGCTCACCTTCCCTATTTTGGGAGCAACAAGAGGGGAAAGGGACAGAAAAGCGTTAGTAGACGCCCGCTAGACCTAAGCCTTCGGTGCGTGCCAGGGTCAAAGACACGTACATGTGGTTTTGCTTGCTGTACATATATACAGTGATAACTGAAGTGATGTTGGATACAAGATAGAAGAGGGTATCAGTGCGAAATGGTTTTCTTTTCGCTTTGTTTCTGTCTAGTTGGGAGTTGAGGTTTGGATACATGTAATATGACACTCCGAGTGCTCTCGGGCATGTCCGCCTGTCTGTAAGTATTTCTTTTCTGGTACGTAGAAGTAGAAGTGATAACTGTGGCATATCTCCAGGTTGAAGAAACTGATATTGCCAGAAGGTTAGAAAAATGTAGGCCGAGATGCCGCAAGTTCAGAAAAAAACGTAGGCTTAGATGCCGCGGGCAAGGGAAGTCGGTTAAGAGAACCGATTCGTATTTAAATACCAACATCGAAGCCGACTTCAAGGAACGTAAGGAATGGTGACCGGTAAGTTGGTCGTTGGTCGTTGGTCACCGGAAACTTCCATCCCCAAGCACGTTAGCACGTCCTAGGTAGGTACTAGGTAGCTTGGAAGACACTCAGCACCAAGTCCTTCGGCGGCTGTTCAACGATATTGGCCTGACGGTTGAAGACAATTTCTGTCTTGTCTGTCTGCCGGACAAAGCCTTTGCCTCCCAAATGCTCATGCATGGCGTTTTGAATGTACGTATGACACTCGTCTTAAGAAAGATGGAATACTGAGTGAATTTCTGAGCTATAGACACCCACTGAGATCTCTCTCTGATACCAGTGTGTAGGTTAGGTTAAAGGTTTGATCTCTTTTTGGAAAGGGGTTATCTGCAAACATGGACAGGAAAAAGAAAGGAGTTCGAGCCTCATGGTACCCACTCTTGTCCTTTCGTATGTAGAGACTGAGAGCTGTGATGGGAAACGATCGAAGAGCTCTTCTCTTCTGACAAGTGGACGCTGTTCGATGATGAATAGATGCCTATTGTAGGTGTTCATAAGCTGCCACTGAATGGGCCTACCTATTCGGCAATCTGCGATTCCACCCAGACCAGACAGACTAGACAGATGATCTATCTGCGTGGTGTCACGCCGTAACCATACCATGGATGCGAATCATCGAGTCGGAGCGATCCTCTGATGCGAGGTAGTGTAGTGTCAAGAGACAACTTAGGAAGTACCTAGGAATAGTGTAGAGAGGAAGTTGGGCTGTCTGAATGTCACAGGCCCGGGTCTCGCACTCAACTCGGTCGATGACTCGTCTGACGATGGGTATTTCTGAGCGCATACCTATCGAAGGAGGAGGGACCGCCGTCGCCCTTCTTCGGAAGCACCGACTGGCTGGCAAACGATACCGACGAGACGGCTCGGAGACTTTGCATCGGGGAAGCCGAGCTCAGCTGCCCGTCAGTCGTTCACAAGCAAGCTTCATGATAGAATCCCGCACGCAGGCAGGCTGGCTGCTGGAATGTGACCTTGCCAGGGACTGACTGTTTGATGCCGAGTACATAGACGGGCTTGGTTGGTCACGGCGATCGAATGGACGACGACATGACAGTACACGAGTTCATTTCTTCGAGCAGTCGCGGTCCATTTGGCACGCACCATCTGGAGCATCATCAATCACATGCTCGAAAGTCGAGATACACACCCACAGAACCAAAACCCAAAAGATCAAGTGCACGATTGTAGTGTAGTGTAGACATGTAACCGGGATTTCATGGGAAAACGTCACAGCAATTGCTCCGGATTCCCTCAAACTGTTCGGCGTTATTCTGGCAACGAGCATTTGTAAGTACAGCACTCGCAGGACACGGGAGAGATATAAAGTCCTTGGAGGCGGCGCCGGTTGCGTTAAAATGATTATATGTATGAAGAAGAAAAAAAGGAAAAAGTAGAAAAATATGCGACGCGAAAATTTTAAGATATGGGCAACGGAATGACACAGTGTTTGTTGGTAGTGAAGAGTTGGCTAATGTACTGTGCTTGCCCCGCGCACTTTGGCGGCAGCGAGCGGCAGCGGCAGCGGCAGCGGCAGTGCTGTAGGCTGAAGGTTGAGAAGCTGGAGTGGGGCCATGCGAACACACTGGTGGAGAGCATAATGACGGGATTGATACATGGCCATCGACTTCCACAAGAAGTCAATCACGATGCACAACACCACAACCATTAACCCCACGGAGACGACTGGCAGCTCTTCTTGGCTTGCTCACGGGGACGTTGATTCCAGGAGTATTAAGATGCACACTTTATACGTACAAGCAGACGCCTGACTGTTCTCCTCTTCCTTCGGAGTTACCAGTGCACACCACTCGGAGTGGCAGCCTCTGGAAGTTTCGTCTGAAAGTGAAGCATGCCACCTCGACGGCAGTGATGCATGTTCTACATGGTGTATGGCGACACGCTCATGTGTCCCATCTCTGTGATCCAAGAGGCTGCCCACATGTCTCAGCTCGAGGATGCATCTTTGCGCGTATCAGTGCGCATCCCTCTTCTGGGTTACACGTGGGGATGATCCTGAAGAGATATTGGTTCTCTTTGCCGGGCCATCTTTGATGCTGTTGGGTTTCATCTGAAGTACGACGTACCAGTAAGTGCTGCACTGCGGTGGCTATAGGTACAACAGCAAAGTCGTGATATCTGCTTCTCTTTGGAAAGTCCAAACGGCCTCTGTTGTTCATCTCTCAGAGATATCTCGAATCCACAAACTGGAAAGAGCAATGGGAAACGGGTGAATTGTTGTTGGCGCGAATATCAGAAACAGAATTTGAACCTCAGCTACCTTACCTAGGGAAGCATCTAAAGCGTAAGGATGACGACCACATTGAAAGACGATCCAATATCAAACCACCAAAAGGGAAAAAAAGAGCACCTTGATGTCTGCACCAAGTGTACGCCTGACCGCTGCCCATCCATTCAATCGAGGTCAGGTTCCAGCCCCCATCCAGATGCCAACTCGGTGTCCCACTTGGCCACTGCGCTGCGGTCAGCGATATGCCCACAGTCCACTATTCAGGGTCCAAGTTGCCAAGCACCAAGGTCAAATAGACGCTCCCACGCTTGTCACCGATCTTCCAAAAAGTCTTGGGTTGGCCTGGACTGCTTTCCTTTTTGACTGAATCTTTCTCCGGCCGACTTTCCAAGATTTTTTTCAAAACACGCCACCGACTATGTAAAAGCATAGTTGAGCCCCTTTTACTTTTCCAATCGTGAGGATACCTTCAACTTTGTTCCTCTGTACGACTTGACTCTCAGTCCCCCCAAAAAGAGGCAGCACCCAATGTCACTTAGCCGGTGCATTTTGGGGCTGGCCTGCCTGTGGCATGGCGTCATTGCCAGCCCACCGGGTGCCGTCCCATCCAACATCCCAATTGCAACCGACCTCCAGACAGCAGCAGCAACAGTCGCACAGCCCATCGCAAACTCTGCTGCTGCCCCGCGAAAGCTACACGGCAAATTTCTGCACATTACTGGTGAGTGTAGACGCCGCGGTTGGAACCATTCCGATATCCCGAGAGCTAACCGCTTCGTCGTACCAGATTTGCATCCAGACCAATTCTACAAGCCGCACTCCTCCACAGACGAAGCCGATGCCTGCCACCGCGGCAAAGGGCCTGCGGGCGTCTACGGCGCCGAGGTCTCCGATTGCGATACGCCTTTCGCCCTCATAAACGCGACCTTTGACTGGATAAAAGCCAACATCAAGGACGGCATTGACTTCGTTATCTGGACCGGTGATACCGCCCGCCATGATAGTGACGAGGAGATCCCCCGCAGTGCCGACCAAGTTTTGGGTACCAATCGCTGGATCGCTGACAAGATCACCGAACTCTTTTCCGACTCAACGGGCCAAAATCTCGAAATACCCATAGTGCCGACCTTTGGGAACAATGACATCTTGCCGCACAACATTCTGCTCCCGGGCCCGAACCCGTGGCTGCAACACTATATGCATCTGTGGCATCGCTTTATCCCGGAGGCACAGCGCCACAGCTTCCAGTTCGGAGGATGGTTTTACGTCGAGGTCATCCCGAACAGGCTCGCCGTCTTCAGTCTGAATACTCTGTACTTCTTCGATCGCAATGCCGGGACGGATGGCTGCGCCAGCCCTAGTGAGCCTGGATACAAGCAGATGGAGTGGCTGCGCATTCAGCTTCAGATCATGCGGGAGCGCGGCGTCAAGGCCATCCTTACGGGCCATGTCCCTCCCGCGCGGACGGATAGCAAGAAGCTGTGGGATGAGAATTGCTGGCAAAAGTACAGCCTCTGGTTACGCCAGTATCGAGATGTGGTTGTCAGCGGCTTGTACGGCCACATGAACATCGACCATTTCGTCATCCATGACGAGCATGACATCAATGTTGGCATGATTGCTGGTTTGGCCGATGATAGCATTGATACTCGGGAGGCTATGGACGACGAGCTTACAGTCATGGGGGCAGCCGACTACCTACAAGAGCTGCGACAGAACTGGGCCAAACTTCAACCGCCTCCCACCGACTCCAATAACCCTGGCAAGGTGAAGGGAGGCAAGAAGGGAAAGAAGGGCAGGAAGAAGAAGTCCGACTTGTGGGGTGAACGATACTCCCTCTCGCTCGTCAGCCCCAGCATCGTTCCCAACTACTACCCTGCCCTGCGTATCGTCGAGTACAACACGTCGGGATTGGAAGACACGCCCCTTTGGAGGGAATCCGCCAAGAGCGTCATGATGCCAATCGAGCTGGAGCAAAACGACAGGCAGAAACACCTCAACCTCAAGCGACAACACCTTCCCCACACCGAAGAAGAAGAAGCAGACAACGAGATCGACGCTTACAAGAAAAAGGGGAAGAAGCACAAGGGCGGTGACTCCAAGCCCAAAGAGCCCGACTTCATCATTCCCCACCCCCCTGCGAAGAGCTCACCGCCAGGACCGGCCTACTCCCCACAACCCCTTACGTTGACCGGTTACACTCAATACTTTGCCAACCTTACACATATCAACAATGTCACGACCGAGGACCTGTCGGCGGTTTCAGATCGTGATGAAGAGGACGAGACATGGGTAGATTGGCTTCTCCGCTGGCGCAAAGGAAGACACGGCAACAAGAAGCCCACCCATCCGGAGCCGGACCCGCGCCAATTCAATTTCGAGGTGGAGTACAGCACCTTTGACGACAAGCTGTACAAGCTGGGTGATCTTACGGTCAATAGCTATGTTGAGCTTGCGTACCGGATAAGCAAGCAGCCCAAAAAGGGCAAGGCTAAGGGTGTGGATGTCACGTATGATTCCGAGGCCCAAGATGAGGAGGATGCTGATCTCTTTGAGGAGGTTGAAGAGGAGAACGAGGACGATGATGAGCTGAGTGACGCTGAGGATTCCGAAGAAGATCCGGATGACGAAGATTTGGAGACGGAGACCATCAAGAAGCACGAAAAGAAGAAGAAGGGTGGCAAGAAACACAAGAAGAAGAAGGGGAAGAAGAAGAAACAAAACAAGATCTGGATGCACTTCCTCACCCACGCCTTTGTCAGCACGGTGGAGAAGGATGATCTGAAGAAGTTTACATGATGGCATGTTGCTGTTAGCTCTTGTACATGGCTTTTTGGATAGTGGGAGCATCTGGCGTTTTCTTCTCTTTTTGAGGTTCAAGGCAACAAAGATGGCACATGGTTATGGCGTTCAGGAAAACAAGGGGATTTGGTTTTAGAGAAGGAAATACCACTTCCATTAGGTTGTCCTAGCTTGGAGGCACTTTCCTTTAAGAAGCATACAACAGTAGCTTGCATTCAATTGGAGTAAGCATGATGAAAACGAAACTCGACCGGTGTCGTTGGTGATCTTTCAGCAACTTCAGGAGCTTTGTCGGCAATATTGATGCTCCTCCGGCAACACGGCCCCACAATGTACCAGTACCCCACAATCCCCTGGAGCTTGCATCTTATGGGTCCCTTGATGGCCTTATCGACTTATCGGTTTAATTGATTGCGTCCTTCGAGTCGCGTCTGTCTGTCCATCTCTCCGCCGCTTCTCCTATTCAACTTCCGTCTCTTTGTTCGTGACATTCCACTCTTTTGTGTAGCAGAGGAAATACCTACCGACCATACCAGCTTCGTCTTCTCCCGTCAAACTCTCCATCTAATTCCCCCCCCACTACACGCTGCACAAACGAACGAGGGAATGGCGCTATAACCCCCTCCAACGCTCGACCTTCATCCTCAATACTCGCGCCATGCCCCGACTCCTCCCACGCCTCTTCGCCTTTCCCTCCGCCGTCCTCCGCCGCCGCACCCGCCGCGCCCGCATGGCCACCCTGATCCTCCTCCTGCTCATCCTACCCTTAATCCTCGTCCTCCCCTTCTACACAATTTACAAACCCCCCTCCTCCCTAATAAAGTACTTTTCCCAACGCTGGACCGACGTCCTCTGGCGGCTGTGGCTGCCTCCCCACCGCAAGATCGTCGCGCTGACCATCGACGACGCGCCGTCCGATTATACCCTTGACATCCTAGCCGCGCTGAAAGCGGGCGGGGCGAAAGCGACGTTTTTCGTTATTGGCGGACAGGTCAGCGGTCGCGAGGATGTGCTGAGGGAGATTGTGAGGCAGGGACATGAGTTGGGGAATCATGGGATGCATGATGAGATGGCTAGGGAGTTGACGGATGAGGAGCTGGAAAAGCAGATGAGGGAGGTGGAGGGGATGATTAGGGGGGCTTATGAGGATGTGGGGAGGGTTTGGCCTGGTGGTTCTGTTGCTGGGTCTGCCTCTCGTAGTAATGCGGAGGGGACGACAGGGATGACAGCAGATGGGACACATACACCCGAGACGACACAAACAGACACAAGAACAAAAGACCACGGCACAGTCGAAGACAAAGTCATCGAGGGCAAATACTTCCGCCCCGGGTCCGGTTTCTTCAGCGAGCGGATGTTGACGCTGGTCAGAAAGCTGGGGTACAGGCTGGTGTTGGGCAGCATATACCCACACGACGCGCAGATCGGGTATGCGTGGCTGAATGCAAGACATGTACTTAGCATGTTGAGCCCGGGCGGGATCATCATTTGTCATGATCGCAGGAGCTGGACGCCGCCCATGTTAAGGAAAATATTGCCCGAGATGCAGAGGCGGGGGTATAAAGCTGTTACTGTGTCGCAGCTTTTGGAGGAGGCGACGGGGTAGACGTTTATTTGGTCGGTTCAGAGGCGGTTTGATTGATGACTTACTAGGTATATATATTGCATATGATGTTGGCGTTATGGCAAAAGGTCTAGAGAAATTGTTTCTGATTAGGAATAGTCACCACGGAGGAGCAGGCCTTATTAGGACAATTATATGCTATGTTGCTGTCCATCTCGCTAGCAGTCCACAAACAAGACTCGAGAAACATTCCGGTTGGACGGGCCAGGACAACAAGGGCTCTCGAAACGCTGTGGTGTCAGAGATGGCAGTGATCACTGTAGCGCATGGAAAGATGGAATATCTGGATCTGATAGCGCCATTACATTACATTAAGAATTACTATATACTAAAAAGGTCCATATAAACGAGGGACGACAAAAAGGTATAAGGTCTAGAGCATCCATCCATCTATCACGCCAACATCAAAAAGCACTTAACCAACCCACACGAACCCAGTTTAGTCAAAACCAAAAACGCCGAAAAGAAAAAAAGGAAAGGAAAAGGACAGGACATCATCATACACTGACTGCACTGCACGCACCTACTCATCACCAGGCATAACAACCCCCGTCTCCAAAAACAGCACAACCTCCGCATGCCTCCCACCCCTGCCGCCCTCCTCATCCCCTCCGTCATCGGCATGTACCCTTTAACACCCATCCTCTGGATCGCCAAGTCGAGGGGTGTCTGGCCCCTTCGATTCATCACTCTTCCCAGATCGGGGTTTTGCTGGCATAGCTCCACCACAGCACTCAACAGTCCCAGCTCGGCAGCGTGATGAAGGGCATTGTTGCCGTCGATGTCAACCAGCTCCGGCTGCGCCCCGCGTGCGAGAAGGAGATGTAGGCATTCTACTATCATGTTGTTGGGGGAGGGGTAGTGGGAGTGGGAGTGGGAGTAGTTGCCCCATGCGAACTGCCGGAGGAGGGTCATGAGGGGCGTGCGGAAGTGCGGGAGGTCGCGGTTGTTGGGGTCTTCGGGGACGTGGTCACCGGAGAGGACGAGGGCGAGGACATTGGGGAAGGAGAGGCTGGTTGTCGTTGATGTGGTGCTGATGGTTGAGCTGGTCGTGGGGGATCTTTGATGGTGTAGGTTTTGGTGAGGGTTGACGGCCATGATGGCGGTGGGTTCAACTCCGACTCCAACGTCAAGATCGAGATCGAGGTCGAGGTCAAGGAAGCTGGTGTCGCTGAGCGAAGGACAAGAGGGGGGAGAGGTAGAAGAGGGAGGGGCGTAGTAGCAGAGGTTTTCGGCGGTGGGCGGACACATGTTGCGCCCGACGTTGAGGGACGCGACGATTTGGTGAAGGTTGTTGCGACCTTGAGGGTCAACGGGGACGTGGGCGAACAGCGAGGGCGGTTTGATCCATACGGTCCGGTAGGCGGTGCCGTAGCGGGAAAGGAAGTAGTCGCAGTAGGCAGAGGCGGCTTCGAGTTGGGACGGGTCGGGGATGAGGCTGTTGCCTTCGATGACGTTCAGACGAGCCCGGATGGCTTGGATTAGAGGTGGTTGGGGCGTATGGTGAGGGTTGAGGCTGGGACTGGAGGGATTTCGTAGGAGAAAGAGGCGAGTAGCTTCGGGGAGGTAGGAGAAGATGGCTTCGAGGGCCTCAATCGTGAAGTCAGGGCGGGTGAGAAGACGGTCGATAAATGTCATCCCAGAAGAATCCAATTGACAGAGATTAAACTCGCGTCCGACAAGATATTTTGTGAGGTGAGCGAGCTCGTCGATGTCGAGTGATCTAGGATTGAACACGTGAAGAAAGAGTTCGTTCAAGTGGTTCGGCGTGTTGAGGGTTATGGTTGTCGACATCGTCATGATCCGGAATAGGACGGGCCAGGGAGCTATCCATCGGGCAGCGACGTGGAGGGCTGTATTTCCAAGTCCATCCTGGTCGTTAACCTCCTCCGCGGCGCAGACAAAGGTATCGGCCGACCGGTTTCCAAAACACACGGCACTGATGCGCCTGTGGATGCACCATGCCTTTTTGCTGCAACAGTGGTTGAGAAGCTCCTGGTTTGCTTGGCTGTCGGCATTCTGCACATACTTGTCGCTATAGTTTATCGGATCTTCAGGAGACATGGCTTTGCCCTCTGGCATCGCAGACTTCTTTTTCCCTCGTCCTTCATATAGCGTGGCTGATGAGTTAGACCTGGACAGGAACGAACGCTGGTTCCAGTGGGGAGAAGAACAAGAAGACGCGTTACTGCTCGAGCATATGGACAGCCCGCTCAAAAGACTGACAACATCAGCCAGGAACGACGAAGTGCGTCCCGGAAGCTTAACCCGCAGACTTTCCACCCGACTGCATCGCCTCTCTTTGATGGTCTTGGAGTTCTGCTTGAAGATCCTCCCTGTTGAAGCGGGTACATCAGAGGCGGGCATCAACTCGGCTTCGGGCGAGTCGAAGCTTGTTGCTGTGGAGGAGCCCGCAGGTATCGAGCTCAGGTCGTTTGCACTGGCCTGTTCCAACCCCAAGTGGTGCGATATACTGAGCCGGGTCATCTCTCGACCCAAGGTCTGCGTCGGACAGTTGGGAACAGGCGACTGTTGTCGCCATTTAGACGGATTCTTGGCCAAAAGAATGGCACAGTCAATCTCATCCCCCTTTGGTGGATCAGAAGCCGAACGGCCATCCCTCAAAGACCTCAAATAGGCCAACCGCCTTTCCATCGACGCTCGGTTCTTAGGCCTCCTCTGACGGTAGGACTTTGATAGAAGCTCGTTGAGGAGGCATTGTGTATGTCGAGGCCTATAGACTATGGTCAGCACCGATAGTCAACGGAGGGAAAGGGGTAAAGATCTGTCCTACTTTGGTTGAAACGATCCCTCGGCGAGGAGGTCAAGGATTTCCTTCAAGGACAAGCCGGACTCGGGAGTACATAGATACAGGCGGAGAAGTCTCCTCTTCCGTGATGGGGTCCAGTCTATCGCCGGCCGTCCCCTCCTCCGGACTTGAGACTCACCCGTCGGTTTTGTAATCTTTCCATCTTTGGTTCTAGGCATGGCGGCTGTTTCTGTTTGACTTGACTTACGGACGTAAGAATCAGCAAACATCTAAAGAAGTAGGAGCCTCGGGGGGAAGGCCAGGCGGGACTTGAGATATACACATGCGCAACCATCCGCGAGAGTGGTCCGAACCCAGAATAGACTAAGCCTTCTCCGGAGGCTCATATCAAGCCATGGTTTGAAACAGGCCGTTATTTCCTGGGGGTTGGAAGGGTGGTGGTCCAAAGTCTCCGGTCGCCGATCTTTGATAACTTGGAGAAGGACGTCATTATGCCGGTACGCCGTGTGCCGGTATTGAAGGGAAGGGAGACGAGCCTCGACGTTCGATGGTCTCCCCACAAGCTGAACATATTAGGCCCCGGCTCGTGAGCCAAGCGGTGCAAATGGGTGCAGGATACCCTGCGATACGATCAGATGGGAGTGAACTTGGTGCCATTTTCGGACCGTTGCGGTGTCAAACATAGTCGGCTTGCCCTGGGGGCCAATCCGCCAATGGAGCCAAGCTGCAGCCAGTCGCTTTAATCGGGAAGAGTTGTCTGGGATATCTCTCCAGGATGGTGTAAATTGCACGCTTGCACACACACTCGTTGCCGTCTCTTCTTGGTAAAGTCTCTCCACGTGGGGTGTTGTTTGCTTGTTCATCTGTGACAGACGGAGCCCCTGATAACTGCCAACAATGCCGCCATTCAACGTCAAAGGGGGCGCCACCTTTTGGCTGATGGAAGCAATGGAGTCTTCTTCTTGTCCCGGCCGGGAGATCCATCTGGCAATCTGATGCTGTTCATCCTGAGATTTGGGGATGTCGATATGCATGTATGCTCGGCTTACCCGTTCCTTGGGTACCGTTATGTTTCGGATACGACGTTTCAAACCTCCTTCGACAATCACGTTCCTGAAGGGGGCGATGCTTGGAGCCTCTGAACACGAAAGCGAGGTGTCGTCGTCCGTCCGTAAGGTAAGGTCAACAGTCGGTAGAGGCTCTTGGGAGTTTGGATTCCCGTCGTCATGGTTGGTCACACACCCGCTCCGTGATGACAGATAGTTCGGACTTGTAGCGAATGATCAGTCATCGAGTGAGTGATCAAATAAAGCTCTCCGTAGGCCCGAGGAATGAGTGGTTGTTTCAGGTGGAGAAGAAGTCTTCTAGAAGGCCTTTGTTTCTTTCCTCCTCGGAATCCTTCCCGTGGCATCGGAACGGTCCAGGGTTTGTCGCCGGAACGGGAACCTCGACAGCTGGACGGTTCTGTGCAACGTTTGTGATGTTGTTGTTCTGCTGAAAAGCGAAAGCGACCAAAGTGGAAGTGGATGCCATTGCTACGATATACACTGCACAGAAAACGCAGTGGCCGACTCTCTGCCAGGTTAATGTTAACTCCGAAAGAGCTATACTAAAGCACCTCCAATCTCAAAGTCTCAAACAATCGCCAACAACACTATCTTCCAACCCGCCATACCCCATATTCCAAGAGCCAAACAGAAGCTGCGCCGTTCTGGCTTTCTATCTTTGGGTTTAATGCACCTGACTGAGGCTAGAACGGCTGAACAATATGGCTTGGTGGCGGCCCAGATCTTTCTTGCGATATCTGAACTCCGTCACAGTGCTGTTATGAGTGCAGTACGCATTTTCTTGTACGACACCACTTACATAACCAAAATGGTCAAAGCTTTTCGCTAACGTGCCGGGCCCCCGATTTAGGAAGCCCCTCTTGCTACACTAGTTGCTACCCCATCCGATCCGCATCCGATGGCTCCCATCCCGCCCTTGCGATGACGAGCTGAGGAGGACTTTTGTCAATAATGGAGTCGCCCCGCGCCGATATCGAACAGGCATTCGACCACGGCGAGAAAGAGTGGATGTGTCCAAGGGCGCTCTAGGCTAGTAAGGCTAGTTTGGACCCGGGAGTCACCATGCTTCCTCACGGCGACATGATTCCACTTTCTTCTTCGGGTTCGATGTTGCGATAACACCATCTCCGCATGTACAGTGTAGATTCATATAAATAGGTTGATATAGAACGTTCTGAATCAGAAATCTTGATCTCATCATCTGTGCCCTCCAGACAAATCCATCAGCATCAACACACCATCAAGATGTCCTCCTCGCCCACCAAAGATCCCGTCCTCGACGGCCCCAAGAGGCTCGCCGCGGCTTTCCCTGACAAGGAGCTGTCGATGGCTTCTCTTTCGGTTCACGCCGACGACTACATCAACAACCACCGGGCCGTTGCGCCTCCCATGCACCTTTCCACCACCTATCGCTATGCTGAGAACCCAGACGACTTGAGGCCATGGGACAACCTTGACGTATGTTTTTCCCTCTCTTCATCCCCTATCAAAGCACATAATACCAAATGGCTAACACGCAACCAGCCCAACGCCCCCTACGACTCCCACATCTACTCCCGCGACTCGGCCCCCAACTCCACGCGCCTCGAAGCCATCCTGACCTCCCTCCTGGGCGCCCCGGTCCTGACCTACGCCTCGGGCCTCTCGGCCTTCCACGCCATGATCGTCTTCCTGAACCCCAAGCGCGTCGCCATCGGCGGCGGCTACCACGGGTGCCACGGCATATTGAAGCTAATGAAGAAGCTCAACGGTTTGGAGCAGCTCGAGCTGGAATCCGAGTCCGACCTCGCCAAGCTGCAACCGGGGGACATCATCCACGTGGAAACCCCGCTGAACCCGACGGGCGAGGCCCGCGACCTGGCTTACTACCGCAAGAAGGCGGACGAGCTGGGGTGCTACCTGACGGTGGACGCGACGTTTGCGCCGCCGCCGCTGCAGGACCCGTTCCAGTTCGGGGTGGACGTGGTGATGCACTCGGGCACCAAGTACTTTGGCGGCCACAGCGACATGTTGTGCGGCGTGCTGGCGTTCCGGCCCGATAAGGCGGAGGAGTGGCTTCCCGAGCTGAGGGAGGAGAGGTTGCATGTTGGTGCGGTGTTAGGCAGCTTGGAGGGCTGGCTGGGCGTGCGCAGCTTGCGGACGTTTGAGTTGCGGATCAAGAGGCAGGCGGAGAGCGCGCAGAAGCTGGTGGATTGGTTGGTAGAAGAGAAGGCGAACGAGGGCAGCTTGATCAGCGAGTTTGTGACGAGGATTCAACATGCTAGCCAGCAGCCTGAGGCCCAGGAGGAGGGCAGCTGGTTGCGGAAGCAGATGCCTGGTGGCTTTGGACCGGTGTTTTCGCTTTACCTCAAGTCGGAGGAGCAGGCCAAGAGGTTCCCTAGCAAGTTGCACTTGTTCCACCATGCTACTAGCTTAGGTGGTGTGGAGAGCTTGATCGAGTGGCGCGCCATGAGCGATCTGGGTATTGATAAGAGACTGTTGCGCGTCTCGATTGGTGTTGAGGCCTGGGAGGATCTCCGGGACGACTTCATTCAGGGTCTTGAGGCGTTGAAGAAGGATCCCAAGGCGCAGTAAATAACTAGATACCACGAGTGATGAACAATCAAAAAGCTGTTGTTAGCAAGCACAACATGATTTGACTCCAAGCTGTGTGAGTGAGCGATATTGGTGATAATTACTCGATTCATTAAGTTGTAGTTTTGTTGATCATGTCTGTATATACCGTGTCATAAGAGCAATATCCTCATTACCTAGAAACGCCAAAAAGCCATTATCCCATACCCTTCGTCATCCTCCAATATGAGCGAGTGACGTCCGTCTAGTTGTTGCGGTCTAACATTGTTGCGTGACTTCATTAAGGTAGAGCCCATCAGCCGAAAGCCCACAGGTTGACATGTACGTAAGCCCAAACATGACCCAACCCGGCATTATTTGCAACCCGATATCGGTAAGCCAAAAAGAAGAGAAAGAAAATTCCACTTTAGACATGCAATCATGACTGCACCTCCTGTTCTTGCAAGGCGGTGGCAGTGGCAGACGATGGTCGGTCAGCAACAGGCATGAGTTCTGCCCCTTGCCCGCTCTGTCCCCGCTTCCGGCCGGGAAGGAATCGCGACATGGCTTGCCCGTTCTCCTTCTCTTTCAGAGGGGTGCCGGTGGCGTGTTCAGGGGCATCGGAGCCAAACTTGGAAAAAAAGCCGCGCTTCTTGGCCGGCTGGGTTTGCTGCTTGTCGTCGTTGAGTCCGACCTCTTCGAAGCTCTCTTCCGGAGTAGGGAAGTCCCGCCTGAAACGGCGCTCACTGAGCATCGACTGTCGCGGCATGCGAGGGAACCTAGCCGAATCGAGACTCTGCCGCGGAGCGAAACTGAAATCGCCCGTAGTGGGAGATATGGGGCTTTTTGCGGAAATGTCCTGAAAAGAGGCAAGTGTACCAAGGTCAGCCATGTGTACGGCGGTCATAGATGAGTCTGAAGGCGGGATGGATGCGTCGGAAACACGTACAAAGGACCTCCTATACGAGTCAAAGGACTCTCTAGAGATGGAGAAGTGTTCAATCTCGGGAACACTGCTCCTTGTGTCGGTAGAGTTGCGCGACAGGTATTTCCTGGGCCAAATCGCTTCTTTCTCGACGGGGGACGGCTGCGATTACCCCTGTCAGATGTCTATGCTTGGGTTCTGTTTCTCTATGCCATTCAACATGTGGAATTTTCAAATCATACCGGCAAGTATACACCACTGTCATTGACCACTGCAACCAACAACTCGAGTTAGCATAAAGGCGCTTTCCAGTGACATGAACGGTGGTCAAGGGGGGGTTCAGGCGGTGTTGGTTGATAGGGGCCTTGGTTTGTCATACCACTCATCTTGTATTCGCCAGTATCGGGGCCCTTCTTGTTGCTGCGAATGCTGAAGGCCGACGAGGCTCTAGAACCGACCGTGTTTACCCTCTCGAAGCCAGGATGGGCAGGGTCGGTATTACCGGCGTCGGAACCGGGGCGGATGTTCTCGTCCTGGGTCACGGCAACACCAGGCCGGCGCGCAAAAGGATTCCGAATCGGCATGGTGGCGGAGTTCGTTTGTTTGCTGTTCTTGCTGTTGTTGGGGTCGAGTTGAACCGCCGATTATACAACGTTACGACGGACAGGGTCCAGGTATAATCGTGGTAAATAAGAAGTCAGAGACGATATGAAACTCGAAAGTATGATGCTGCTTTTGATTGTAGTATTTAGAGACTCTGGGGCGGTCCAGGATCTGGTTTGCGATTAAAGAGTCCAGTCCAGGTGTGGGAAGAAAGATGTTGGTTGGCGGCAGGATTCGTCCGAGTTTCTGTGTCGACGGGACTTCCTCTTTTCCTTCAAAGCTAAAAGATGCGACGGAAGGTGCAGGTGCAGGTAGTCTGGGATTCTAGAGTTCCAAATGGAAGGAAAAGATCAGATGAAATCGGTCAAAAGCAAATCAAAAAGCAGCGAACATCCCTATTCAAGAGGGCCTTTTCCCTCGGACTGGTTCCCACTCCCGAGCCACTCTCTCCAGGTCCTCAATGGCCCGCAGCGGTCCTCAAAGACGGTCTGGCCGACGGGACCCTCGGGGCCGTTGCCTCTCCATTGGACGACGGCGCCCAGAGTGGCTCCGCGGGGCACGATCTTGGGTCCGTTTTAGTTTGCCAGCTGCACAAGCTGCAGTAGCTGACCTGCAGCCTTCAGGGACAACCTTGAGCGACACTGTGCCTGTGCCATGGCAGCCATCCGCTTGTCATCCACATGCGGATACTGCTGAAGAAGCCGAAAGGGGAATTGCATTCAGTTGATCTTCCCCGCCCCGCCATTGACTGGGCTTGTGAGACTTGTGCACCCGTTTTGTGCACATCCAGGACGCCGTCAGCGTGGAGTGGCGCACAAAAGTGCCCGCCTTTGCATCGTTGATTCGCTGGTTACTATTGGGTACAAGTCCCTTTGTTCAGCTGTGAGTGGTGGAATGTCGACTGTTGAGGAACTTTATAACCTCCACGGCTATTGACTAACAACAGACAAATAGTCGCGAGATGATGGCTCTTTGGTGCAGGTGTTCACCATAGTGGAAACTGTGCTGTGCGGGGTTCCCAGTGTTAAAATGCCGTTGATCTGGGGATATGGAAATGACGTTATTCTTTTCTCCAACTCCAAGAAACTTCCACTTACACTTACACCTCGGCAAAATAGGCAGTGTAGCAACTGGAACGCTGCAGTTCGAGGAAGGGTGATCTCATAACCACACGTGCACGATCTCAAAAAATGTGCGGGAAGCCAGTAAGCATAATGTAACACGGCCCCCTTTTGGTGCTCGTCTGTCGGTTAAGAGGGCAAAAGCAGGGCATAATGAGCAGCTTGCCAAGTCGTGATGTTATCTTGCCTTTTGACGATTTATATTCCACCTCTTCATCGTGCCCATCAGGATAGCTTGCCCGTTAAGCGGTTAAATATCAAAGACAGCACCTAACTCACCTCTAACCCACCTGTAATCCATCAGAACGTGAGAAGGCTCAGCTGACGTAGTTGAACCATTCCGAATGCGGCTTATCATAGTAAAGCCACCATTATCTTATGTCATCTTTTATTCCCGGGTATCTTTCTTTTTGTATCTTTCACATCTTACATGTACGTCTAAATGCTCACATCTAGTCGGGACCGGTGCCATCCGGTCAATCCGAGAAGCCATCGAACTCCTCGTCTTCTGGGCCTTCCTCACCGTCCTCACCATCCTCATCTCCTTCAGCCAACTCCTCAGCATCGGGATCCTCATCTTGTTCCTCGATCTCGTAGCTGCCGCTAACGTCCCATCGGTCACCCTTGGCAGCGCGGCTAACGTACTTGACGAAGCGCAGTGTCCCGCTGTCGCGGAGCACCAGGGTCATCTTGTTCCAAGCAGCCGCCTGGAAGAAGAGAATGTTGTCATCATCCTCGCTGCTCTTGTAGATAGCCGCATCCTCATCCTCGTCATCATCGCCGGCCATGTAGACTTCGTGGCCGCCAACTTCCACAGCCTCCTCCTCAGCCTCTACCTCCTTTTCAACAGCCTTGGCCTTGCCCTTGTCCTTCAATTTACCGTTGGAGGTGGCCTTGCCCTTGCCCTTGCCCTTGGGCTCCTCTTCTTCTGACTCTTCCTCGTCCTCTTCGTCCTCGTCATCCTCCTCCACATCACCCCATCCCTCCGTAGGCGTCAAACCGATGTTGAGCTCCAGACGGGCCTTGCCATCATGACCGGTAGCAAGAGTATAATCCTTGCCATGGCGGAACCGCCTGGCAAGCAGGTCATGACCTTCAATGGTCGACCTTGTTGCCATCTGCAACCACAGACGGAACTGTCGTGATGGCAACAGGACTTCCAACAACTCCTTGATGGGTGAGTCCTCGGCGTTTTCCTCGCCCGGCTGCAGATACAGGAAGCGGTGCTTGTGGGGCGGGCGAGCTACCTTCCACGCACCAGCCTTCTCAATCTCCTCGCTGACCTCGGGAAGCTTCTTGGCCTCCTGAGCCTCGACATACTCCTTGATCTTGGCAGCGAACTTGGGGTGCAGAATATCGGAAAGAGTGATGCTGAACTGCTCCTCGAATTGGTCCGCAATGTTCTCGATCGTATCGGGTGTCAAGTAGGTAGGGGCGAGGTACTTCAGGAGGAACTCCAAGTCGCCTTCGTCGAAGGTGTTCTCTTCATCCTCCCCCTTGCTCTCCTCCTTCTCCGCCTGCACGGGCTTCGCTACCGGGCGGTCATACTGGTCTGGGTTGCCCTGCAGTTGCATCAAGCCACTCTTGTGGGCAGCCTTTTCCTCGGCGCCCTCAACGTAGCCCTCCTCGCCGATCTGAGGGATGTGGAACCATCCGCTGATAGCCATACGGATGCGGCCGCCCTGCTTCTCCAGCTCCTCCTTGGAAGCATGATATACCTCCTCGACGTCGTGGAAAGACTCTCCAGGCTGGACAGCGAAGAAGGACAGTTGGTTCCAGGCCGGCGGGATAACCTTGACCGGGTCCGGGAGCGGAGTCTTGGCAATCTCACCGTCCTTGCCCTCACGGTCCTCGACGGGGAAGAGGCGCAAGGCACCACCCCACTCGGGCTTCCAAGGAATATCAGGATCCGTCAAGTAGAGAATGTAGCTGACCTTGCGGGAACCAATCACGTCGTCGTGGCACAGCAGGTAGCAACCAGGGGTATAGACATTGATGGCCATATCGGTCTTGCGTCCGCTCAAGGGACCGCAGTCGGTGATGTGGGAGACATAGTTGCGGAAGGTCTCCGAGTAAAGGGCGTCGCGAAGGGCGAGAAGAGAGGGCAGCTTGGACAGAGCATCGTCGTCGAGGCCGTCGAGGTTGGCGAGATCGCCGCTCTGGTGGATCTTGTAGATGTCGGTCTCCTTGGGGGTGAAAGAGACATTGTCCTTGATCTCATCGCGGACCTTGCGGAGGAGGGAATCGTCGACTAGCTCGTTGATAACGGTGTGCTTGTAAGGGGTCGAGGAAGCATACTCCTGCGTGTACTCGTTCAGGACGGACTGGTCGAATAGTCCGTTGCGGAAACGGGCCTTGGTGTCTTCGGGGGAGAGAGCTGTGCGCGTTGATGCGGGTCAGCCACAACTGGAAGCCGGGCGAGCATGGGGACCAGTGGACGCATTACTGTTCTTCGTTCTCTTCAGATTCTTGGCCGACTTCTTGCCGTCAGACTTTGTCTGATTATCCGCCTTTCTCTTCACCATGTTGGGCAGGTCGATTGGCCGATTTGCGCAAAGTTGGGGCTGCAATTGAAGAGGCAAAGTGCAAGTGCAAATGCAGCGGGAGAAAAAGTGCTGGCCAGGAAGGTGCCGTGGACTGATACATGAGTTATCGCAGCTCTTATCGTGCCATCAGAGTGGAGCAAATTTTCAAAAAATTTGTCTCCGCCTGCATGTCGGATCCTCTTTCCCCACGAAAAAGAGGCGGGGCCAAAAAGGCAGGGATCGCCCGAGTTACCGCCTGATTTGGCTTATCGATAAGGATACGCCTGCAGCATGTTGATGAATGGTCCTTCCTCTTTACCTCTCCAATGCTCTTGCTTTCCAATCCATCAAAGAAACCACATTGGAATCAAGTGTTTTCTCTGAGTGGATTTGACTGATAAGCTGGTGAAAACTTCTTGTTCAGTTCAAACCCCTACTGTTAACCAACTGTAGCCGTCATCCTCACCACTTGATCATGGCATCTCACACGAGTAAGGGAGGGCTTCTGACGACGTTGGGCTCCTCAAAAAGATCTCGATACTATCCAATATCCGTGTCTTTTACTCACCTCGACGCGTAAAGGGTAAGAAAAAAAAGGAACAGAAACACACGCCAAGCGGGAAGGTGACGAATAAGTGAGGGGGAGATGGCTACAAAAAGCGAACTACCCAATCTCGGGCTAATCCCCAAGCGCGAATCAGATGGACACAAGACGCAGGATGAAACTTTACAAGTTCATTCAACATTCCACGACGCTCCTATCCCTCATTCCAACACCAAACAAGTATCTTGCAACCACTCGACTCACTGGTGTTGCACATGATTCACGCACGCCAGTACCAGCAGCACTCCAAGCATGCCCAGAATCTCGCAACATCCTCCAAGGCAAGCGTGGATACCAGAAGATCGAACGAAATCCCCGTTGCCAAATCTTCAACAAAGCCGGCACAAAAGCCCTTGACGAGATTTTTGATGCCACTGATGAGGATGTTGGTGAGGATGAGGAATTTAGGGGAGACCTCACGTCGGTGCCTCGCCATGTGTGGGTCAACTTCGACCTCGACCTAATCGACATCGGCGAGGGTCGTCATCTCGGCACTCACTCTTTTGTTGGGAGACACAATGCTGCTGTCAAGCGTCTCAAGTTCAAACGCACCGATTGGTGCTTCGTCGAAGACGAGTATCCATTTGGGAAGAGGTATAAAAATCTGGAGGCGGTCTACGTGCAGTGTCCACCAGGCAACCCTTCGAAGTGGAGAGAAGGTGTCGTGGAGCTGGGCTGGGTTTGCAACCCGGCGAACGTACATCTCATTCCCTATTCGACTTGGACACGTAGGAAATAATAGAGTCAAGGCACCACGGTAAGCAATCATGCATCCAGCAACTACTTGTTTGTTCAAGTCGTGACTGACATTTGGAGCTATCAGGGCTAGAACGAGGGCTCTTTAAGAAGAACAAAAAAGTTTCGAACCTAACGAGCATCAACATTGACCTTCCACTGTTGCTTCACAACAATGCCCTCCACGTCCGCTTCCAAGTCACTGCTACCCTGACCGATCGATTCGGCCCTCTTAGCAGTTTGCACATCAGCGTAGTGCTTTGGGCCGGTTGGTCTCAGCCTGTACTGCGAGCTGGTGTCGCTGAGCGGCTCAAACGGTCCCTTGACATCATTGCCGCTCTCGAATTCGATGGCTTTGGACGGGTTGGCAGATCCATACGTCCTGGATCCCTCGGAAGCGAAGCGTGTCCGCCCAAGCAAAGGCCGCATCAACGGGATACAGGCCAGGATCACCGCCACGCTGGGTTCGAGGCCCGAGAAGATGTTGGCCGGCGGCATGGAGTAGGTGATATCGTCGAATTTCATGGATGACAGGGTGTGGATACGAATGCCACTGACCACGCATGTGCTGGAAAGTTGAAAAGGAATGGTTAGCATCGGCCTTGTTGACTTGAAGATACAGGGGGCGGAGACAAGACTAGAGCAATGGGGGAGAGACATACAGTAGACCGACGCCGAAAACACCCATCAAGACCACTTTTTTGTAAGTGCGCATCTGTAGACCGTACAAGTATGGCACGGGAAGTAGCAGCACAACCACATCGGTGAGCAAATTGAGAACTCCGGTGATGGTGAAAGAGTACCTGGTCACCACACTTTCCTCCCGGGATGGTATGATCCCAGTTCATGGCAAAGGGTCGGCAAATCAGCAACCCAGCCATGATGGTACCTATAACCCACAGGGCGATAAACACAATGGCACATCTTGCGGTCCAGATAACTGGACGGACGGCAAAGACGCTGGAGTATAGGAGGAGAATGGACGCCTTGGACAGGCCAAGACTCAGCGCCCAGAAGAACTGAAGGGGAATAAGAAGCTTCAAAAATAAACAGGTTAATCCAGTGCATATGGTCCGATAATCATGAGAGGTCAAAACACATCTAACAAACCTTGAGAAGCTTGGTAATAGGGTCCATGCCATACTCCGCGACGACAGCCATCGTGTGGTCATATCCGATTCCACAGTCGATGACTCCTACAAGACACACAAAGACATGATGGCGTTAGCATTTTTTTTCAGTTGGCAGGATGATGCTTTGGACAAGCCTCAGGAAACACTCACCAGTGATACTGACACCCTCCAACGCCACTGCAAGCACATAAGCACCCATAATGCAGTAGTCGCTGGCGTCCAGCGGCCTCGAGGCCATGCGTCTCGAGATGACACGCAACACTACTGCGATGACGGGCAAGATGGCAAAGGCAAAGGCCACTCCTAGGACGGACTTCTGGTCGGGCTTCACGACGGGGAAAGGCCGTGCCTTTGTCGGCGGCGGAAGGGCGTCCATGGTCAGTCGGCTCAAAAGTCTTGAGCCGACCAGACGGGGAGTATCAAGACTCGGGAATGAAGTCTTGTGAAGGCACTCAGACCAGAAGATGCTCAGTTCCAAGGCGCAAGAGCCACGCAGTCAACGAACATCAAGTGACTGACTGGTGGGAACTAAAGAAAAAGAGTAGTCCACTTTGACAACAAACGAACGGGAGATAGTCCGCCGGACAATAGAGCCAAAGAAAAAAGAATCCAACCTTAGGGATCTCGTCCCGGACAGAAAAACGTAGCCTCAGTAACGATCCGCACCACCAGAACCACCAAAACCGTGACATTGCCAAAGCCATTGAAGAAGGCTTTACTTCTTTTTCCTGCTTTGATAACTGGAGTCCTCTCAGGTACTGGCTCTGACTCGATTTAGAGACATGCAGTCATTAAAAATAATTGGTGGTTTGTCAATCTGTTGTTGAGAAACCGTTACTGAGGCTACGTTTTATTGTCTTGGGCGAGGGGATATAAGTAAGAATAACAACCGAGGCCATCCCTGTCTGAATTCACCCTTCACCTTAATACACTACCACTATGTATACAATTTCCTATACAGTTACAGCTGCGACAGGCTTTCTTCTTTGGCGGTTACACCCACGTCGATCGCAGACAGACAGACCCACCGCTTCTTTTCTTCTTAGTGTAGACGTAACCGTCTTCTTAACCAACAACAGTCCAATGAAGTCTTTGCAGACAAGTACACTTAGTACTGAATGCCAGGGCAACCGAACCCTGTAAGCCCATTCATTGGTAGACTAACACTCATAGTATTCAGTCCTTCCAGAGACCTCAGCAGCGTACCTAGTTCTTCGCGGAGCGTGGGGGATAGCCATACCCATCCAACTTAGTGTAATAAGCGGATGCCCCACGCTCCCCCTGGGCCCTGTTTACACTTACATACGTACTTCCATCGCGATGTGTCAAACAAAAAAAAAGGGCCCTTGTTCGACCGAGTTAGCGAGTCCACTACCCCGGCCGGGGGGAACATGCCCGGCCGGGGTCTACGGGGGAAGGCGGGATGTTGGACTCAGTGGACATTTCCTGCTGAGCTGAAAATTCCTAGCCGAGCTAGGTAAACAAGGAATGAACTCCGGTGGGTGGGTGATCATATATGTAACTCCAGCTCCCAGCTATAAAACATACAAGGATTTTGAGTTTGGAGTTTGAAAGGGAGTTCGTAGTCCGTGAAAAGTGTACGGAAGCCGCTGTCGAGACTCTCTCTGACTTGTTCAGCAGCTTCTAATTTGGCCTCAACGTTCGCACCTTTTCCCCCATCGAGTTTCTGTAATCTTTCGAATTTCCACTCACGATGAGACACTCAGCAAGGCCGTTGCTCGCTATCCCCTGTTCGGCTGTCACGTCAATATGCTTGGGTTGCGAAGTCTGCAACGGAAGGCGTATACAGTACCGTTCCGGCTTCGAGCAGTAGCACTCACACAAATGCCGGTGACGGTGCCGCATCCTCAACTCCTTTTCTTTTTGAGCCTCTGCATCAAATATTTTCTTTTTTCTCCCGAAAATTTTGCCGTCTTTATTCTTCTGCTTTCATCCTTTCTTTCCCTCTTTTTTCTTCCTTTTTTCGTCTGGTCCTAACATGTCGCCATAAGTCACGTACCCAACCTCTATGTGGCAGTCGCCACAGTCAGGTCTCCGGCAAAACAAAGAGAAGAGAAACAAAATAATGAAGAAGGAAGAAAAAGGGGTGCGTTGCATCCAAGACATCAAAGACGGATATCCCGATGCCCATTCGACAAATGGAAATGTAGTGTAGGTAGTTTATGTCTCGAATCCCAGGAGTCTCAAATCTCAGTTTCGCCTCGATGCAACAATTTTTTCCTCACGATACCACATTACCCTTTTGAGGCATGTAACCTCCGAACCAGTTCCTGGTTGAGGAATGAATACCGACCGACCGGTAGAGGACAAAGAGAATTGCCGATGGGGGGCGGCGCGGCGCGTAAATCACTGCCGTGAAAGGTATGCAGAACCGTTGTTGCAGTTGTTTCACTTACCCTGGACTGCACGATACCAAAATGCAACATTTCCCTTTTTTTGTATGCTGCGGTGTGTGTGTGAGGCTGCTTTTCTCTTCATTTTCTTTTCTTTCCTACTGGTCATCACGACATTCCGGACGGACGCTATACCTGGCAAGCTGGCTTGGGGGTCCGGATCGCTTAGCGATGTCTCGGTACTGTTTACAAAAAAAGTAGTAGCGAGCCTCTTGGCGCTGTCTGTCTGTCTTAACCGCCATGCCTTTTGTTGTGTTACATCCTGGACAGACACGACACGCAGGGCAGTCGAGAAGAAGACGGAAGGCACACCTTCCGTAGACACTGTCGTTGAAGATGTCTATCATTTCTGATGACGTCAAAGCTGCCCTTCTCGAAGTAAACAGAACACAGGATCCGGCAGGTACGCAAGCATGGAGTGGCCAGTTTAGTCCTTCGAAGAGCTTGTTGTCTCCAGGTTTTCGGACTTGTAGTTGTAGGACTCCTCATTCTTTGCGTATGGCGCCGTTACTTCTCTCCCATCAGCGACATCCCCGGCCCTTTTGCCGCCAGCTTCACCCGACTATGGCACGTCAAGCGCATCCTCAACGAAAATCAGAACCTCGACCTCATCAGTCTGCACGATAAGCATGGTATGTTTCGAAGCATTCCTCTCTTTTCCCTTCCGACCACCTACCTGCCTACCTACCCAACTCGCCTCACCAAACTAAACTCACCAACTAACCCGTCCACAGGCTACTTCGTCCGCATAGCCCCCAACGAAGTCTCCGTCAGCCACCCCTCCGCCGTGCGGAAGATCCTCGCCGCCCCCCTCCACAAAGGCTCCTGGTACAAAGTCATCGCCTTTCCCGACGGCCGCTTCGCAAACCCCATGTCCGAGACCGACCCGGCCATCAAGAACGAACTCTCTCGGCACCTAGCCCCGGCCTACACCTCACCCAACCTGCTCCGGTCCGAGCCCAACATCACGCAGACCTTATCTCTCCTCTTCTCCTGGCTCGACAAGCACTCCACCTCGGGCGCGCCCATCGACCTCGACAAGTTCTTCACCTTCGCCACCTCGGACGTGATCGGCGAGGTGCTGTTCTCCAAGCAATTCGGCTTCCTGCAAACGGGCACCGACATCGATTCCACCATTGCCAACGCCCACCCACAAGCCGCATACGTCTCGATCGCCGGGTTTTTCCGCTGGTTCCACGTCCTGTTCCTGAGCAGCCTCCTCATCACCTGGCTAGGCGTCACGCCCTGGGGCCACCTGATCAACACGGCCATGGCGGCCATCAAGAAGAGACAGCTCAACCCGGACGCCCGGTCTTGCGACGCGCTCGCCCACTGGCTGCGCATGCTGGAGCAGCACAAGCAGGACGGGGGCAAAATGCAGGAACACAAAGTGCACAGCGCGGCTTTCAACGCCGTGGCGGCGGGCAACGAGACGGTCGCGGCCGCGTTGCAGGCTTTTGTGTATTACATGATTCGGCATCCTGATGCCTGGAGGAGGGCGCGCGAGGAGATTGATGCCGCTGGTCTTGCGGGCGAGGTTAGTTACGCGGACGGGATGAAGTTGTCGTTTCTGCAAGCGTGCATCAAGGAGGCGTTGCGGATTTTCGGGCCGGCGTCGATGGGTTTGCCGCGGGTGGTGCCGAAGGGAGGGTTGACGATCGGGGACAGGACGCTGCCGGAGGGGACGACGGTTAGTGTGAATATCTGGATGGTTCACTACTCGAAGGAGATCTGGGGAGAGGATGCCAGGGAGTATAACCCCGATAGATGGTTTCGGGAGGGCGCGGCGGGCTTGGAGAAGTATTTCATCCCGTGGGGAATGGGGTATGCGTCGTGCCCGGGACAGAACATTGCAAAGATCGAGCTGTCCAAGATTTGCGTGACGCTGGTGAAGGATTATGAGTTTAAGCAGGTCGATCCGAAGCAGGAGTGGACGTGGAAGGCGAACTTTACTGTTACGCCGGAGAACTGGCCTTGTTTTGTGAAGAAGAGGGTGGTGGAGTAAGTCGGAATAGGAGCAGTAATAGCTTTTTTGCATTGGCTTCTCTTCTTTTCGGGGATCCCCTCCAACTGTCTTGAATAGATACCTTGATTGAAAGCATCTTCCCACGGCCCTTCTTCTTTGATAAACAACAGACATAGGTGCAGGCTGAGAAACCGCCTCCGTCGACAAGATTTTGGAGTCAGGACGGGGGGTCATCAAGGCTCTTGGAATCGGGCGAGGCAATGTTGTAGATGGCGTGGTCGACAATGTCGCCGAAGGTGAGATGCGTTCGAATCTGCGGCTGGATTCCGGCTTCCTCGCTGTCACGGAGGCGATCACGGTGGTGACTACGGCCGCGTCAAAAGGGCGTGTTAGATGGATGTCAGTCGGCCTAGAAGTACACACGGTAGTGGTGTTTTACTCATTAAAAGGTGGCGGCCTATGTAGAAAATTACATCATGGAGGGTAACAAGACAGAGAGCACATCCCTGTGTAAGTTCAGATGTATGCTCAAAAACTATCCCCATGAAGAGCTCACCGGTGTAATCCGGTGCCTAGTTCCTTGATAGGTCGTGAACAGGGCCAGTTGGCATAACCAACCCACATCGGGAGTGGAAGAATTAAGATCTAGGTCATTCATGTATTTTCATGCCGCACTCACTAGAGGTCTTAAAAATATCTCTCCCACTTGCCGTTCCTATCCTTCTCGGGTCGAAATATTTTCATAGCTTTCCGTTCCTCTTCTCGACGGCTTCGCGAAGTAGCGCAATAACCTCGGAAGGATCTTGGGCACCGAAGACTGCACTTCCGGCGACGATGACGTTCGCGCCAGCATCCGCCGCCTGGTCAATGGTGGCGGGTCCGAGACCGCCGTCGACCTCGATGTTCAACTCGGGATACCGCTTCCTGAGCTCCGCAACCTTGGGCAGTTCGGAAGCCATGAACTTTTGTCCGCCGAAGCCGGGCTCGACCGTCATGATGAGGACCATCTGTCACAGGCGATGCTTAGTATTTTCACTGCTCTTTTTCTTTCTCCCTCTTTTCTCAGATGTTTTCAAATATTCATCAATTTTATACAAGAGACGTCTAGCACTAGTAGATAGACCAAAAATCAGGTAAGGGGTAAAATCAGGCGTCAACTCACATCAGGTCTCTCCTTGGGGTCCTCAGACTCCAAGATCTCCCAGAGGACATCAACCGAAGTCGCGGGCTTAAGGGCAATACCCGCCAGCATGCCCTGGTCGTGGATGTACCTGATCAGCTCCTTGGGGTTGGTCTTCTCATCCGACTTGGCCTCGGGCGACTCGGCAGCCGACGAGAAGGCGGCCTCGTAGTGGAAGCAGTACAGGTCGCAGCCGGCCTTCTTGAACTCCTTGACCCATTTCTTGGGCTCGGCAATCATCATGTGGCAGTCGAAGGTGCCCTTGCCGAAGCCCTCGGTCGGTTTCTCGACGTGGCCACGGATCTTGGCGACGATAGGAGGGCCCCAGGTCAGGTTGGGGACGAAGTGGCCATCCCTGTTTGTTTGTGTTAGTCGAGTATCTTGTTCATGGATGAGGGGAAGATGAGATACGATAAAATTCTTACATGATATCGACATGGAGCCAGTCGGCGCCCTGGCCAATGGTCTTGGAGCAGTCATGGCCGAGGTTGGCAAAGTCGGCCGACAGAATGGAGGGAGCAATGATTGCCTTTGGCGCCATTGTGAATGTGTGATTTGTGATGAGGAGTTATCTGTGATGTTTATGTTTAAGATCAGATGATGGTATCGCTGTTTGAGAATGATGACTCTGTCAGTCCGGTCTATTCCTTCCTTGACCTAGCAGGACGGGACGGCATGGGTCTGGAGGTCCCGATGGCGGATGGGTCCTTCCACATCCACATGGCGGAAGAGGGGCACGGTGGTTCGCCGGCCCGGCCGGTTCTGTCCCGACGACGGCGGGGCTTGACGGAGCAAAAGCGGGGTGTGAAAGGGCTTGGCAATGACGACAGCGGGGAAGCCAGCGAGGTGCCTGCCAGCTGGCTGTTGAATGGGATCGACCGACAGGCCCAGTTGCCGTTGACATCAGTGGAATCCCAACTGAACCGCCCCCAACAAAACTGTTAGCGAGCGCCGGGGTGCCCTTTGTATCGCCTGTGAGCTTCATCGAATTGTTCCCATGTGATTGCAGTGGCGTGTTTTTTCTACAACAACACCATCTTCTCTCGCAATCTTTCATTGAGATAGTAAACAGAGAGCAACAGTCCCGTCACACCAATTTGAACATGGCGGGTTTTCTTTCATACGTCCCCCTGGTCAACAGACTGGTTGGTGTTGATGCGCCCAGAGCCATCGACGTTCCTCCCGTCAAAGTCCAAAACATCGAGACAGACGCCGAGAAGCGACCACGGACACTCAAGCACCTTTTGCGGGCGAACCATGTGAACCACTCCATATTGTATCATGACCTTCAGTATGACAACCATATGGCACATATCCTCTGCTCATCATATACACTAGGGGCCGAGGCACCGCAGCTGTATGACATCTATGAGGAGGAGTCCAAGACTTTGGAACCATGGAAGGATTCGCCTTCCGAAGTGTCTGAGGCAGACTGGAGGGATAACCTGGGCGACAGACAGTATCAGAGAGCCTATGTTGACTTCTTTGAGGACATGATGGTCATGAAATACAAGTATGACTGGAAGCAGGTCATTGAGGAGTTCATGTTTGGGGGCAAGCAGCCATTGATCAATGGTCTCATTTCCAGTCGTAAGTACTCAACTCTAACCTCCAAGGTCATGGTTCATTCCGCTGACCAAGTCATGTAGTTGGCCATCCTCTCATTCACTTGGGCTATGCCTATGAGTTTGACAACCGAGAGCTCGCCATCGAGGCTCTCAGCTTAGCATCTTCAACATACAACTACCTGCATAAGTACATCGACGACTCATCATACACCAAGAAGTCTTCCTTCACCTCTACTTCGCCATCAGAGATCCTGAGCAAGATTGCAAACGACAGCCGATTTGACGGCCTATTTGATGAGGCCAAATTCGAGAACGTCGACGCACTCTTTGAAAAGGCCGAGCCACTGGTGTTGGAGTATTGGAACGCTTGGGAACTGGCCAACCCCGTCGAGCAATTCCGCGAGTCCCAGGAAGCGGCAATCGAGCTTCTGGTTGCATCGGTTCAACCCGGGACGCATTCTTACAACTTCTTCCTTGTCCACATGTTGACGACGAGCCATGCCGTTAGAGTGTTGCTCCCCTTCGTACCAGTCAAGTTCCACATCAACCTCGTGAGGCAATGGTGGCTCCTTACCCTGGCAGCCTACATTGCTGTGCTCCGCCCCAAGGTTGACCCGGATTATATCCCTCAGGACCTGAAGGGGAAGAGCTGGAACTACGTTGAGGACAAGGCGCTGAATGGTCGGTTTGCGAAGGATGCCCATTATGTGAAAGGTTGGTTGTCCTATCGATAGTTTCTTGGCTCTGATCACTTTACTAACAACCACCACAGCGATTCGGTCTATTAGAGAAGCGGCAAGGACTTGGGGTGATGTCCATGACCGGTTTCTCGCGGCAGCGGTTCGGTTTGCGGATGACTTCGAGGGATGGTAGCTTGGAAGCCTATGAGTCTGGACGAGTAGTTAGGCGATGGTTGGGCAATTGTCGCAGAATATGTTCTCCGTGCGCGATATTGATAGTCTTCACAAACTCCCACTGAAAGCTTTAATAATGAACCACCCAAACAATCTTATTCATTGTGGTGAACACGTTCTGGTTTCTTCATCCGAGTGCTAACGTCGATTGATGAGATTGCTCTAAGTGGCTCATACTGTCAATCGGGTTAGGGTTGGTCCCGCTCTCCCTGTAAATCGTGCGTTTGCGCTGGAAATCTGGGGCAGGGCCCTGCAGTTTAGGTCGCGGTAGCCTGTCGCGATTGCCTCCATGATGATTCTCTGTTTGGGTTGGAACTTCAACAACCGCCTTTTTTTTGAAGACCTCTTTCTACACTCCGCCGTGCAATGTGACCAATGCCGTGTCGCACGCACCTGCGAAACTTGCAATGGCGCCGGCTGCAAAGCGACGCAAACGGACCATTGTCGACGACTCTGACGATGCCGAAGACGAGAAGAAGCAGACGAGTCAAAACAATCAAAACACCCTGAAGCGCTTCCTCATCGCGTCCCCCGCGACCAAGTCCGCCAAGCTAGACGATGACAACCTCCTAGAAGTAATACCCGAATCTTCCAGTCCCGTTCCACCCGCTACGAGGAGTACCCGCGCTTCAGCAAAATCCCAACCTCCAGCTACATCGTCTTCCACCCTCCAGAGCCGACTGCCAAAAGCTGCCCCCAGGAGCCCAAGCGCAAGCCCGATCAAGTCTCGAACAAGGGCACAGAAGAAACTCAAAACAGAGGAGAATGGAAAACAAGCGGACCTGAAGGCTCTCTTCTCGAAGCAAGCAGAAAAGAGTCAAGCGTCTGCGGCATCGGGTGTGAGCAGCAAGGATATCAGTGATTTTCTTGAGGATATCATCAGCGAGTCCGATGACGACATTGCTCTGTCTAAGACGGTAGCATCTAGCTTCGTTGGACTGCAGGCTCATAGGCGCTTCAAGGACAACTCGCAAGGCACTTCGCAAGGGAGCTCGGCATTCAGTACCCAGGCTAGCACGTTAAGCTCGACCACGGGACAGCGCTTCTTAAAGCCTTCGAGGCCGGCCAGGCCAGTGGCTGCCGCAGCTGCACCAACCGATGACGATTCTCGACCATGGTCAGAACGATTCGCACCGACAAACCTGGAGGAGCTGGCGGTACACAAAAGGAAGGTGGGAGATGTGCGGAAATGGCTAGAAGAAGTCATTGCTGGCCGAATGAGGCAGCGCCTCCTCGTGCTGAAGGGTGCTGCTGGCGCGGGCAAAACGACCACTCTGAAGCTCCTGGCGGAGGACATGCGCTGTGAGGTTCTTGAATGGAGAAATCCAGCAAGTTCATACGGTGATCCACGGGGATGGCAGTCTGCGTCTTCGCAGTTCGAAGAGTTCTTGGGAAGAGGCGGCAAGTTTGGACAGCTGGACCTGGAAGGGGGAGACTCGCCTCCACCGGCACCGGCGCCCACCACCAGCAGCATACCAAAGCAGGGCCGAAGGCTGATCCTGATTGAGGAATTTCCAAACACCTTCATGCGATCATCCACCGCCTTGACGAACTTCAGGAACACCATTCTTGAGTTTTTGGCGGCGAACACCCCGTCCCTAGCATTTGGGCAGGCAGCACCCGCTGATTCGATCGTTCCAATAGTAATGGTAATATCGGAGACGCTGCTCACGACGACGTCTGCTTCCGCGGACAGCTTTACTGCACATCGATTGCTAGGTCCTGAAATTCTGCGACACCCCGGGACAGGTGTCATCGAGTTCAATCCCATTGCGCCATCTCTTCTGGCCAAAGCCTTGGAGTTGGTAGTGAGGAAGGAGGCTCGGAGGTCGGGCCGCCGAATGACGCCAGGACCACTAGTGCTCAAACGTCTTGGAGAAATTGGAGACATCCGAAATGCTATTGTTTCGCTGGAGTTCCTCTGTGTCAAGGGCGATGATGACGCCGACTGGGGATCCAAGATTGCATTCACAAAGACCAAAAAGGGTTCAAAGGATACAGCGCTGACCAAGGGTGAGCAAGAAAGCCTCGAGTTGATATCCCAGCGGGAGGCAACCCTAGGTATCTTCCACGCGGTTGGAAAAGTGGTATACAACAAGAGGGACGAGAAGCCGTTTCCCCCAGGGTCTGAAGGTGCCAAAGCGGAAACGCTACCTGACTACATGTCACACCTGTCTAGGCCGAAGAAATCCGAAGTTGCTGTTGACATGCTGATCGATGAGCTCGGTACCGATACCCAAACTTTCATTGCGGCCTTACACGAAAACTACGCCCTGTCGTGCGAAAGCAGTCCCCTCGACCCTAATTCCTCCCTAGACTACATGAACGGATGTCTCGACTACCTATCCGAAGCCGATCTTCTTTGTCCATCCCGGGACATCTTTTTCGGCGGAAGGGGAGCCTTTGCCGGTGGGGACTATGGTGGGAAGGACGCGGGCAGTCATGTACTTCGACAGGATGAGATGGCATTCCAGGTCGCCGTTCGCGGCCTGTTGTTCTCCTTGCCGTCGCCCGTGAAACGGCAGACGCACCCCACGTCGGGTCGCGGGGGAGGAGACGCGTTCAAAATGTTCTACCCGGCTTACCTCAAGCTGTGGAGAGCCAAAGAAGAGCTGGAAGGGTCTGTCGACATGTGGGCCACCAAGATGCTGAAGGGTGAGGACGGCACGACACTATCGCATGGCGGCGGCGCAACTATGAGCTTGACCAGCGGCGCATCGGCGTTCCAGAGGTCACCTTCGACAGCGAATCCGAGCAATAACAGCGTAAACAACTGGGCTTCGACACCAAGGCCTCAACCAACCAGACATGAACAGACTACCGCTTCAGGCAGTTCCGCCGCGCCTCCTCTCCTCTCACTTGGCTCCTCCGCTCGACAAGAAATGGTCCTCGAGCGTCTCCCCTACATGGCCCACATCGCCCGCCGTCGACGCTGCTCGTTCGGTTCCATGCGTGTCCAGGACCTAGACAAGATCGTGTCATTCCAGGGCATCGGACCCCCGGCAACAGAGGAGTTGGACGAAGACGAAGCCGCAGGAGCGGACGAGGCTGGGGTGACCGAGAGTTGGGCTACGGATAAACCAGTAGAGGAACCGACGAGTCACGGGCGAAACAGGAAAGGTCTGGGTGCGATCCTCAGTCGAGCTGCGGCCGGCAGGGTGCATGGTAGTTCTAGTGGACAGGGAGAGGAGGGGCTGGAGCTAGGTGGGATTCAGAGCTTGGTGTTGAGTGATGATGATATTGAGGATGATTGATTTGAGAGGCAGGTGGGGGTTTGAAGCACGGTACTAAGGCATGGACGTTAGTCACGACCAGAAGTTCATGGATGCACTGAGTTTTGCAAGTTGGTGCAACGGATTAGGTCAGGTTCATGGCGGAAAGGGATCTGGAACCATGTGCCTCGGTCGCAGAGAAGTACCGGGCCACCTCTTGATATTAGCGACAAATAGATGGAAAGACAACATGCTCTACTATATCGGACAATCCCAAAAGAAGTGTGATTTGACATGTGTATGACAACCTAGAACGTGCGGGTCATCCTCAGATCCTGACAGGTTCCAAAACACCAAGAAGGAAGTGCACGATGCTCATAACAAGAGCAAAAGACATGACGAAGAAAACTAAAGCATAACACCCAGTTACCAATTTCTTGAGTGTCTACAATATGATGCACATATGCATTCCAAACAAGAGATATAAGAGATCAAGAACGAAGCTTCTTGCAATCAGTCTATTAAATCCAGTTCACACGTCCCAAACTGCATAGTCGAGAGTCTTGGATTCTCAAGAATGATCCGCAACTTTGCGATGCACGAGCCATTTATTCGCCGAGCATTGTTCACCATGTGGTTGTAGTTGTGGTTTTGACTGCCCTGGTTTTGGAGTATATAGGTTAAGTCTTTTCATCTGTTCTACCGGAGTGGGCCTGCTCATACGAACTCATCTCCTGCCTTTTACCGGATGTGACCGTGAGTTGGCTCAAAATACTCCAATACCCTAATCTTTGGAACAAACCATCTGGACATCCAGAATTCGAATCATCTTTTTGGCAAATCTTTTTGCCCTTTTTTTCTTCCTTTTTCTTACCCAGATATATTCTGCTGTGTCATAGAAGACATCTAGACTTTTTTTTTTTGTTGCGACAGTTTGTTTGCAGTCAACATGCTCGATTTGACAACATTGTTTGCCGGCGCACTTGCTGTTGTCGCTATCGCGCGATATCGCTGTCGCGGCGATGCACCAACTACCAAGTGCCCTGTGCGTTCTTGCTCGCAGTGGTGAGAGGCAAGCACGGTCCACCAACATCTCATTCTCGCCTTTCTCAAACAGTCCGACTCCAGATTTCGGGTTACCATCGTTTCAGGCGCGCAGTTGAGTGTGAACCACGATTCCGAATTCTCGCGAGTTCGAAGCAAATGCGCGGCAAGCTCACTGTGCTTCTACCTGGCTGTCTGAAGCATACAGATTCCAACCTTCGTTTTGAACCTTCCTCGATGATTGTTTTCCCCGAGGTCCTGAGGTGATTGATTACCAAGGGATGCTAGCGGCAACAGATGTTTTTTGATGCACGGCACCGTCGGCACGGCGCGGACGACAAACAACACTTCTTCAAGATTGGTCGGAGTCAGGGGCGGTTAAGTTGTAGGTGCACGACCAACAACCGAAACATCATCATCCCGCTTACGTTTGACGAAGTGGAACTGGTAGTTGATACAACTTTTCTCATCCATCTTCTTGGTTCAAAACCCGGTCATCTCACCAGCTCGCTCACCATATCGATGCACGTGTAGTGTAAATGGTGGAGGATTTCAGCAGTCCATCCCGTCTCGGTCCTGCTCTAGAGATACCGAGTTGCCCCTAGCAACGAGCCAACAACCACCCTGTGAGCCTGCTGAGAGCCAAGCGAACGAGCCCAAACATTACCCCTGAATGGCAACTACTGTAGAAGCCTGAAGGGAGAGTTTCTCCACCGAGTTGTTGATGGTTTTGAAACGGAGTGCAAACCGCTGGGTGCGGGTAATGGATCACCGGTTACAGATTACCATGTACACGGTTCCCAACCAACATGTGGACGGTATGCGCAAGATACCATACCTAGATACGACGGTGAGTCTCACCTTGAAACTCAGTTATACATATCACATTTTGTGTTGTTGGTTGTGGTTGTGATGGAATCATGGAAGGGATGGATGCCCGATCTCATCACAACCTGGGATCCGCTCCGATGGTTTGCCGGTGCCGGTGCCCGAACTCGACCCGAGAACATTCGGAAGTCAGGGTCCACTTTTTGACGGGTCTAAGTTGGTCGGCGGTGGTCGGACCGAGCGGGCTGGGACTGGGACAGCCGTCGGGCAGCTAATGAGTGTACCGTGGAATTCGGGCTGGAAAGAAATGTTTGGTGGGTAAACCAAACCTACAACGCTGGCAAGTCAAGGGTTAAAAGAAAGAATTATGAGGGTGGTGATACCTGGTAGACGAGAGCGTTTTACTTGACGATTGGTGACTGTCCTTATCGTCCTGGAACTGACAGCTCAGGCGGCAAAGAATATCCTGGTATTCTTAAGAACAATCTCTTGCCTTGTTGGTGGATGACCTGATTCTGAACATGCGAATTTGTTCTCGCATAATCATCGTCTCAGGTAAGGATAAACTTTTTTTTTTAGTCATTATTATCGTTATTAGTTTTAGCCATGGATACCATGAACGTTTGCAACGTTGCTTGATCACTAAACCGCTCCCTTTCATCGCCTCGTTTGACCCTCAACCTGTGAGCACTTCCGCTTTGCGCTCTTGGCTGATATGAGTAGGTGCTCTTTAAGAGTGTTACATGCAAGCTGAGATTGAGACAGAGCATGGCGTCCTTTCGTTTTGGGCTGACTACTTGGTGCGAGCAATGGTAATTGAAAACATGGAAACCCGACAGTTGCCCAGACCCAGGCATCTTGCATTTTGTGGTCACGGAGGGCGGGGGCTGGGAAATGCTTTTCGATGTTGTGCCAGATGCAGAAGTAACTGGAGCGACCCAGAAAACCTCATGCGGCCAACCACGCGGGAGAATCGATCCAAGGAGAAAACTGAAAAATTGAAAAAGTCCAGATGCAAGAGAGGGGATCTTGGAGCTTCAGATTGGAGGAGGGGAGCGACTGTGGTCAGTTTGGCCACAAGCCTGCAGGGCCTGCCCAATTTGAGTTTCCTGGTGTTCTCGATTCGCTTGTCATTGCAGGGCTTTCAGGTCCACGCCAGTTCTGTTCGACAACGACACGAGCCCTGGTTCTACCGCCGACTTTTCTATAAAGAGCAATAAAAGGGTCGTGGGGCTATGTCGGGTTGGTCACTTCTTTCGTGTAATTAGAAGATGATCCCTTTGGATTCTCCAGAACTGCAAGTTGTCGAGCAAACATCGTTTTACGTACTGGTCAGTCTCACAACCTCCGTGATGGACAATTTGCCTGGAATTGCCAACGACAACAGAAGACATTCCATCATAGTCGCTGGTGCTGGCGAGCCGACGACGAGCTAGTTAAGATGATCAACCCCAGGATCGCGGTGCTGTTGGACAAAATCAGCTTTCGGAGACTCAAGAAGCTATTCACCCCGAACCAATGGATAAGTGCTTAAGCGACAGGGTAGGTAGGTATTGACGGCATGGCGGGGCAATTCAGGCCTGGAGGTCTGTGTCTGTTCGTTCGTTCCAGGAATTGCATGGACTTGTTTCAGGGATTCTAACGTATCTTTGTCTTTTGTACAGCCATGAGGTGGTGAAATCTAAAGGGTCCAGTGATGAGTAACGGGCACTTTTTCCGAAAGCCGCATTGCTATTTATCATGATTGCTTCGCCGTTTGAATAATGCAGCGCGTTCTCGGAGCCGGAGATCTTGATCACGCCGTCAGACTTTCCGGTACAGGAAACTCCCTGGCAACGATGACGGAGCTTCCAGTGTATTGGGCGCTCTCTCTTCATCCAACGTATACCGACCAGCCTTTGACGGTTTTTGTTTGCGAGCCAAGTTAGCATCTAGAGCACCCCACTACATTTCCCCATGAAATTCCTTGGTGCTTGCAATGCTGGGCAGTTTTCGTTATCATGGTGCTGCCCGATTTGAGGCCACATGGTTCATGACATGGCACGGCTACTCACTTCCCGCCTCGCTACAAGTTCCAAGACTTGGTTTGCCCTGAGTGTATGATGTTCTTTGCTGCTGTGAGACGGATCATAAGCTCCAGGTCCAGAGGTAGGGATTGTGTGAGACTGCGAGCGAGCAGCAACAGGCCGGGTGTTTTTCTTTGCGTCTTCTGATGCGCCTCTCGCTTGTCCGTTCCGGCGCACATTTTCATCATCGTATTAGTGGTGCCACCAAGCAACGGCTGGAGGCCACGCTAAAATGATTGCAGGCCTGTGTGCTTTTTCGGTTCTGGTGGATGATGAAGGCTTTGATGGTCAAAAGTGCTGCTTGCAACGAGTAGTGATAGGCGGGTCACTGGGCAACCGAGGTGGGTCAGCGCCGAGGTAAAGTCGGGTGTTGGGGAAGCTGCAAAGATATGGTACAATCGGTGGTCGGAACTTGCCCCCATGATACGAGGTGTCTGGGACTCGAGTGTGAAGACGCAAGGCGAACCTACCGAAGTTTCTTGCAGTCGGAAGATAGAAGGAAACGAAGAGGCGGGAAGTACCTATTTCTTATAAAGTATCGGAGAGCGGTCTGGCCGGGTCCGAAGGGCTGTCTTGGCGGGGGATGCTCCTGCCATGCGATGCGAACTCCGACTGAGAGCAACATCGATGAAGACTCCGGGCCACTGCCTGCCCTGTGCCACCACATTTATGGGAAATGGCAGGAAGACCTCATATTTACCTCTGCGCCTGCTGAACACGCGCGCGGTGCAATGGTGGCCATACAAATATGCTCGCCCAGCGTCGTGAATGGGAAAGGACAAAGGAAGATGGGGATGGCTTGCGCTGGGTCACCGGAAACACTGTCTTGTCTGTCGGATCTCCCAGTCCAGTCAGCAGCTCCCGGCGAGACGAGTTTTGAGTGCGGTGGCTTTATAATTAGGCGGTACCACGACATGCAGTTGGAGTAGAGCGTAAGTGGTCCTCACCCGAAAAGGCAAGTTACTAGGTAGCAAACTGAAAACACGGAATACCTGTAGGCACCAACATGCAAAAATCTCTAATCGCATCAAGGCAACGGTGGAATGATTGAGAGGTCAAAATTAAAAGAAGAAGCGCTGTGACCTGGTTGGGCATTGATACGCTTGAGGTTCCCAAGCAGACTCCCACACAGAACAGACCGATTCACTGTCCCGATCCACTACTTAAACCGACCCCGCCGCCAAGTTTCAACAGCGCATCCCCGTTGAAAGAATTGCCCGCGGAGGTTGACCACAAAGACCCGTCATGTATTCTGGACGTGGAGTCGAAATTTGTTGTTGGAAGCCGGTAACAAAGATACAGATGGTGGGAAGACATAGGATTCATAATACCTGTATTCAGTCAGCGGCGTGTCTCTCTTATCGACAGTTCCAACACGGCGTGAGATAACTCTATTGTGGGCGTCGCAGGGGCTGAAAGGTGGAGTAAGTGGTTGGGTTTGCTTGGTTAACTGGACTGTATCACCAACCCCGGCATCGACGTACCGTCCCCAATTATCAACACGACCCAGAAAGGTCTTCGCTTCCAGAGTTCCAGCTGCCTTTGCCGGGCTCAATGAGTGGACGCGTATTCGTGGAGGCAGTTGGAGATAGGTAGCCAGTAGCCTACCTTACATCCATGTAACTGCTGCCACTCCGTCCGCTTCCGCTTCATGCTGCCAGTGTTCCAAAAACGAATTGATGACATGATTTTACGGGAATTTGTTGCTCTTGTGACGCTGTGACAAGGCGTCCCATTGCTCTGCCCACCTCCGCCCCGGTCCCGCCTCTCCCTGGCTTTTCCCATGGCTGATACAAAAACCAACAGCATTCCCACATCACTCTCACGGCCTTGTGCTTGTTTCCTTTCGATCTCTTCTCCGTTTCCCTTTTGTATCCGTGGCTTGATGCCCGCCGCCCATCCCTACACTTGCTCGTCTGCTCCGGCCTACTCGAACCGACAACAAATAAATAGCCTCAGCTCTACGTGTACGGGCACCCAAGTCTACATATACCCGCCAAAGCCACTCGCCAGTTTTCCCCCCCAAACGCACGGCGGTTACTCTTCATTTGGTCCGGCAGCCTACCTTGGATGGAAGTGTTCATCAAAACGGCGGCAAAAACATCCCTTTCATCGTAAAGGGCCCAGGACATCAGGGTGCGATAAGAGACGGGGTTAGAAAGGGCGATTTCGGTCGAGCCGGTAAAGCAATCGTGAAGGTTAAAAGGGCTGGTCTGCGATATCTCGTATTTGCGGAACCCAGCAGAAGTCTGCGTTCATCTCAGTGCGCTGCGACAATTGTGAGCTTTTCCGACCACGTCGAGGATCCAAGTGCTCGCCATTCAGTCGTGGCATACCTGGCTGCGATGGGCAAAGTTGGGCTTACACTGCAGACCGATCAATAAATATCCTGTGCCTATCCATGCTTCCGACCCAACATTTTAGTCTTTGGCGAATCTTTGCTGATTCTTGCAAGAGTTCCTACCGCCGTTGCGATACGACGATTCCACCCCTCACATCGGATGGGAACTTGGGCGAATACACTTCTTGGCTACAGTCCGATCTAGAGGTGCCGCATTTTTACCTCACCAGTTAACGGTCATCGATTATCTGCCTTTGCCACTTGAAACCGCGGAGGGCAAACAACACGAGACGAAACGAAAGACCTCGATATACTTTTTATCTGATACCACATCCGTCCGAGCACTTTTCGGCGACGGAAGACCCTCAGAGGGGCCTTGGAGAAGTGCAAGGTCTATGTTTGACGCTGTCTGCAGCAGTCCGTTGTGAATCAGTCGGGCTCGATACCTCTATAACATTTTCAAAGCTCGTTTGCTGTAGCCACCTCATTCTTGCCAAGTTGCTCTCCTGAATCAGCGTGCGACTATGGACGAAATGGATTACACGATGCAGGCCTCTGCTCATCCGGTCCCTCTTCCCGGCTGGTGGGTGAATAGTGCGCAGGTCCGTGGGCAAGGTCGTTGCCCATACAGAAATGGAACGACGGAAGGCGCAGCAAGTGGAACACAAACAGGAGGTTCTGGAGGCAGAAGTGGAAGTGGAAGTCTTGTTGGGACAACAGAAGGAGCTGGAGGAGCTGGAGGATCACAACCGAACCACGGGCAATCAATAACAGCAACAACAACAACAACAATAACAACACCAGGAACACCCATCTACCATCAACAACAGTCGAGCCTTCCTCACCCGCCACCATTACTACCGCCAGCGTCAACATTACACCACTCATTCTTCCTTCAGCCAGGTTATTCCGACAACTCTCTCCCGCTTCAACATCATCAAAGTTATTATTTTCTCCCTCCGCTTCAGATCCAGCAGCTTCCAGCATCACATGGGCCTACGCCTCCATCATTTCCCAGTCATCCCGCAGACCCTCCTCCGCCTTCGTCCCACTCGGCGAATCGAGGTTACGATCCCGTTCACGCTGCCAGCAACAGCAACAACAACAACAACAACAACAACAACAACAACAGCAGCAGCAGCAGCAGCAGCATGAACAACCAAGGTAGAAATGGCCACGCGTCTAGCCAGGACAATAGTGGAAACGCCGGCAACAACATGAACAACCAGAGCGGAAATCAGCAAGAAGGCCACCCAGCACCTGGCCACGTCCATCAATACAGAGGCAACGGTATCAACAATAACAATGCCAATAATGGCAACGTCACCACTCCGACCACGGGCGTCAGTACCACGAACGTCAGCGCCGGATACACGGTCGGTCCCAACTGGATGCTAGGATTCACAGATGCACCTCCAGCTTTCCAAGGACCGCCGGGTCCCTCCCACTTCCACATGACACCGGGCACCTCGTTTGCGCCGTCGTACGGGATGAATGGCAGTTCTTCAGGCAATATGATGAGTAGGCAGGGGGCGCGACCAGCTGCAAATCCCGTCTCGAACTCCAGTCCGGGCGTTGATGCTGACACAGTTATGGGCAACACAGAAGCTCAGGGTGGTTTGGGTGCCTCGGGTGGCTCATCTGCACAACCAACTGCTGCAGGTGCTGCCCCGCAGGTTGGTGGCTCAGGCTCGGGACCGATACAATCTGGCGCCTGGACATCTCAGGGCCAGAACCGTTCTGCACCACCATTCTCCTTCCAACCCCTACAACCCGGTCTCGAGGGGTTTCCCATACCAGGCTTCTCGACAGGTTTGCATCCTCGCCACACGGACTCCCTCCGTAACAACAGTGCCTCTGCTCCCAGCCCAGTACTATCTGACCCAGAACATTGGCGTCCTCGTCACACACATGCCCCACCAGCCTTTGTCACCTTGAGCTACTACCAGCATCACCTGCATCCAAACGGGCTCCCGCCTGGTCACCGTCGCCAGTCTTCGCATCAATCCACTCAACCGTCACCCACAGCTAGTACGGCTTCGTCGACAGGTAGCCATATCAGGCTTCCTGCCCCCGATCCTCGCTCAAGGCTCCCTCCATATCGTCCGTCAGGCATGTCGAACCCAACCGAAAACGGCAATGATTTTTCCCATGCCCTCCAGCCTCCTCTGGGCCCCCAGGCCTCGTCATCGGGCGCTCACCGGCCATCTCGCCAACCTTCAGGCTCCGGGTTCACCAATACAGCTGCACCACTTCCCGATAACCAGTCCCTCCCTGGCGCCGCCATTGCCTCTGCGTCTACTCCTACTTCGGCATCGACGTCCAATACCGGACCCCCCATTGGACAGTCGACTTCATTCTCTCGTGGTCCTGCCTACCCCGAGCTGCAAACAGAGATGCGAGACTACTTGGCGAGAGCTCATGATCACTCAGACAGCTTTAGCGATGACGATTTGGACTTGCCAGACCCAATGCCAGCGCGCCGACCGATCAGTGAAGAAGAAGCAGCCCGACTGGAAGAAAGAGCAGCCGAATTTCAAGAAAGAGCAGCCCAAATGATCAGGGCACGGCAGATGGCGCGCGGACAAAGTTCTAAGAAGGTGGCGTCTAAAAAGGCTATAGACAGCCTTGAGCCCGTGAATGTTGCAGACTTGCCTGAATCGGACGGGAGTAAGTTGCCATATCGTCCTTCTGTCGCGGAAATTACCGAGTCTAACTTTAGCTTACCAGCCTGCGATATCTGCTACAACGATTATGGTACTATGAGCCCGGAGGGCATTACAGAGCAACCTTTACGGATTCCCATGTGCAAACATGTCTTCGGCGAACACTGCATCAAAAAGTGGTTCCAGGATTCCAACAGTTGCCCTTACTGTCGAGCTGAGCTTCCTACACAGCAGATATACACTCAGGCTAGTGCCCAGTCTATTAGGGAGTTTCTGGACAGCGGCCACTTCAGGCGGCATGGTAACAGAACGTAAGAATCGCCCTCCGGTCTGGCAACGTTTTTCTCTGACATCTTAGCAGGCAACAGGAGTTGCTTCGTCACATGGTCCAGCTTAATGAAAGGATCAGTGGACCTAGGGCATGGCAAGCAGGAGGTCGGCGCTCGCCTCCTTCGGAAAATACAGGCAGTACAAGGCGGGGGACCAGACATGGCAGCTTACACCAGCGACAATCATCATCGGGACCGCCTGCACCAAGCAGTCAACGCCCACCTCGCGAACGTGTCAGTCCCATTTTCCCTCTCGTTGCCATACACTGTAGCTGCTCTCCTGTGGAATATCAAGGATTTGACTACTGATAACCTTCTTCGTGATTTAGCCTGCCTCGGATAGCGACAATCCCTACAGAAGCGCCAACACGAACCAGACGTCCTCTATGCCCCACGAACCACCGGTGGCGTCATACACATCTGTACCAGCACCTCCATCGATGAATAGTGGGGAGTGGTCCTTTGGCTTTGGGCCATCAAACCGTGACCATGCTTTCCCTTATCAGGTCCCCGACACGAGGGGTCCCGCACAAGGGCAGCCGCCTGTTGTTGAACAGCATGACCAGCCTCCTGCACCCCCGTATCCCGGCGATAACACTTTTCCTGGTTCCTCTACCTTTGGCCCTCCTGGGTCTGGTAGACAGCAGCCTCAATAGCAGCAGGGGCATCATGGTTCCTCGGGCCAGAAGAGGCCAAGCAAACGAACTAGAGAAGAACAAGAGCGAATCAAATCACCAGAGCTACTCGAAAGACGACAAGAGCAACGCCTTTCTAATGAAAAAAGTCGAGAGCGACGCGCTGCAAGAGAAAGACAACGCGCTGCTTTGGAACAAGCTCGGGGACTGCAAGAGGAGGAAAAGGATAATATCCTTCGGTGGCGCATAACCGAGGCTCTTGTTGCTGCACATCATGCTGGAGTTTGGCCACAAGGGCAGCGCAGCGCTTCTGGACATGATTCTCAGACTTCACCAGAAAGCCCCTCTACAGACTGGGGTGCCCAAGTATTTGAGGACATGGCTTCTGGATCGAATGGTCAGCCTTTCCACTGCGTACCGGAGCGGCCTCCCGGATTTCATGATCATCTGGCTACATACGTGCCTGGCAGCAACAATCCCGTCAATCATTCCTTTAATGACCCCAATTGGTCCCTCCGTGATGACATTCTCAGATTTTATCACCAGCCTCCGTCTTTCCAGGAACCGCCGGCACATGCCGAGCAACCCTTGCAACTAGCCCCTTTTTCATTCCAACAACCGCTTCACTCTTCTCAACTACGGCCTCGCACTTTTCCGCAAGTCCCTCCGCTTAATCCTTCCATTGATTTTGACCCAATGATGGAGGGATGACGCCAGACTCGCCAGTCAGATCCCAAGTAATGGAGGCTGCTTTCCTAAGTACAGGGTTCTCTGCTTTCATATTCACGTCATGCCCGTTTAGACTCGTTTTTCTCTTTTTTGCATTACGCGATGATCTTTTTTTTTTCCCCTTTTGCAGTCATCAAAAAGCGTTTGGAGTTTGGGACATGGAAGCAAGCGCGGTTGGGTTTCGTTTTTTAATTGTGTGCATATGGCGTTTCCGGTTGCGGTTATCGTTTTCATTCATTGCTTTGTTTTGGAGGGAGGTTGCCAACGGAGATGGTACACAGCTCATGGTCTTTTCACCGAGTGGTAATGCGCAGCAACGGCACTCAAGTCACAGCACAAGATATGGGCCGCAGGTGGCAGGGGTACCATAAAAACCAGAGGATGAGAAGGAGATGGCACACCGAATCAGATGATGAGAGTCAGATCCACAAAGGGGGTCTTTGGAGACAGATTGTTCTGGAGGGAGGATTTCATGGTCGATACAGCAAGGAGAAGTGATATTTAACGAAACGAGAAACAGCGCAGTGAACTTAGGAATAGATCAGCAGACATACATATGATGATAATTATTATTATTGATGTTTGTTTCCTTAACGGTCAGGAACTGATGAGTCGTGTGCGCTTGTGGACGTTAGTTCGTTTGAAATACAACAGTCGCAAGTTGTTAGTGTCGATGTTGGTAGGTATGTATGAAGGCATTCCGTCAGCGGGTAGACATATCAAGAAGTTCATTTCATCGTTTGAAATCATTGCATGACTCTATATGGACACTGCTCGCTGAACCAGTCTTTGTTAATTCTGAGGCGGGTTTGCCGTAGGTCTTTCAAGAAGGAGGCAAAGGTTCATGTGGACAGGAAGGATGGCATGCTTTGGCTTGGTCAGGACAATCGATCATAAGACACAATATGGCTGCACTCTCGTCCAAGCCTGTTTTTAGTTCGATACTGACGAAGTCATCAACACAGTGTCTAAAGAAATCCGTTTCAGCTCATCTGATCTGTGAGTTTCTGTTTTCTTTTCAAGATAGAGAGTCCTCTCAAGGCCTTGAGGAGGTACCGAGCGAAAATAATGACTGTATGTGCCGGCCCATGAGAACCCGCCAGGTACTAATAAAGTGCCATAGTTGAGAAGGTCGGTCGGTCGGTTATATTGCACATAGCAATTACCTAGGTAATGATCATAATTCTTAGCTGTCGGGTATCCCTAACCACAGGCGAGTAGGCGAGTAGGCAAGATGGTTATCGCATTGAGGAATGAGAATTGGTATCGAAGGTGGCGCCGTCCGTTCATGCCTTCCAGGGTGTTTCCATCGAGAAATCTCAACCACTGACCGACCGCGCGACCACGAACTTGATCAAACGGCAAACCTGACACTTTTCCGGATCGACTTTGTTTACTAAAGTGGAACAGAAACAAACCTCAATCGTTTCCTTTCATCAAATCACAGGTCTTTCTTTGCTCATCGTGACTGTCATTATCATGAGTGGGTATCCTCCACTGACGGGTCTTTCCATCTGGACTTGAACGGTCGGCCGTTCTTTTCTCCCATCAGGTTCGTTCCACCCCTCCTTCTTGGGTCATCACACCACCTACATGGTTCCAAATGGAAGTCACACCTCCTAATCTACAAACGAACATATCGAGGAAGGTAGATCCCGTACGTACCTTGATGACCACGACAGACGATAGCGTATCCATTCGGTGAGTGACTGATGCGAATTTCTGGCATTCACAACCGCGGTGATATGGGTAGGTACATCTACATGGTACTGACTGACATCGGATGGAAACTTGGAGGATACCTTTGCCCATTGTATGTACCTAGTCTGTATAATGTTCAGTTCAGCTGAATTCACGAACGAACAGACAAGAATCAAGACGAGACACTGCTTTGCCCAGTTGCCTTTACTAGGTACAAAACCTGAGGCTCAATCTGATCCGATCTCGCTTCACCGAATGCTTCTTGTTCACCGTGATTTCGAAAAGGTACCCGTCTGCCAGTAAATTGACCGCCGTTCCTTCTTCCTTCTACCCACTCTTCTAGTCTATACATCGTCAGTCAAGAGGAAGGACTCAGAAGACATGAATGACTCTCGTACAACGCACAGTCGTTTCTTTCCTTCTTGCTTGCTTCTGTCCTTTCCCTTTCTACCTATACACACCGCACCACCCACTCCATACTCCATCGAAATTCGCAACCTCCCGTCGAGAGAGATAAACGAACAAGATCCGGTACTGTACCGTGCTTTCAGTTTCACCATGAAAGAAGTGGTAACACCACCAGCTTAACTCGGTATCACGAGGTATTCACTTCCAGTCTCTATCATTTAACCAAGACCTCCAAAACTGTGTAAATCCTCAAAAGTATTTGTGAGATTGATGCAGGGCCCGGGACGAAATACTTTAGATCAAGAAAAATGCCGCATTATCAATAACAGCCCGATTAGCTCAGCTGGTTAGAGCGTCGTACTAATATCTTATCTTGCGAGATATCAAGTTCATGCGAAGGTCAACAGTTCAATCCTGTTATTGGGCATATCTTTTTTCCACTTCTTATATTTTTATTTTCTGTTTTTGTTGCCTCCATAATATCCTTGTCTGCTCTTTTGCGTGTGTGTGGTTTTTGCCTGGATGATGTTAATTAACATTGTTGGTCATTTGGATTTGAACGTAATTTGGCGGTATTGGAAGGTGTTGGTGGGATTCCTTGCTTGCACTCTGGTGGAACATCCGGATCAGAAATTTTCTTTCTACCATTCATGCTCAAAGGGAATAACAAGAGTACCGTTCCGTTTCCTTTTGAGTGTCTTTGGTGTTCAAGGTAGTACCTATCCAGATGGATGACCCCCATGTAGGCTTCTCCTTCATCCATCCTTCTTGACCCTTGACAGTCACGACGAAAAGCAGAAAAAAAAAAGGAAGGGACTTTCGAGCATGGAAGATTTGCTCCGGAATAATACCCTACAAGTATTTCGGTTAGGTAGGCAGGACCTCACTCATCCACAAGCCTCCTGAGGAGAATGCGTCTTCGTGAGCAGGCTAAGTCAACGCCATACCTCTATGCGAAGGACGGAGGATGCTTTACCAAACCAAACCAAAGAATCCAGCTACACAAAGTCAACCGCTTCCGTCCGCCTATGTCTAAAAGGGAAGACTAATTAATACAATTCAAGAGATACAAGGAAGTGATTGAGATAAAGTTGCAGATATTAGGACAGTCCCTCCCCCACGATTCTTGAACCTTGAGAGCTGAGAGGTAGATACTTGGACCCTTGAACAGTTCATTGAACCCTTGGACCCCTAGGTAGGTAATAGGTACTCCCTCCTGGGTTCGTGACAGTGACAGCGTGCCGAATATGATATGGAATGCATGGATGCATGTACAGAACCTTTAAAGCTTATTCTGCCAGTCAATCAGAAAACTTGGCAGAAGGATGGATCCATGTATTCCGCCCGTTCAATGTCCCTGGCTCCCCAGGTAGCGTAGAAAGAGACGAGATGAGACACGACGGGCCGGGGACGGGAAACATCCCAACTCGTTCATTTTCACTGCAGTCCCCTAGTCTACCTAGTTCTTCCCAGCGCCCGCTCACTTTGCTCATCGCTGAACCCAGCTGGGAACGAAGGTGCACTCGTTGATCTCCAGAGTCCGTTAGGCAGTCGTTAGTCCCATGCATCTTGTATTCACCGGACGCATGCACGTAAACTCATGTTCTTGGTTGAAGCTAGTGTCCTACCGGTCCGGTCGCGCCGCCCGGATTCCCAATTTTCCTTGCTTCCCGGCTTACTTTTTTCTGCAGGTATTAACGAGATTGGATGAAAGGCAAATATCCAGGGACAGACGGTAGTGTAAAGCAGGCTGGGTTGACATATGCGGATGTGGGAGACAAGTCACAGCGGCGCGGCAACAGGCGGAAGGAAGGAAGAGAGGAGGGAAGAGCAGACCGGGATCCGGAAAGATAGAACTCGTGAAGATCCTCCTTGGCGAGCGATGGCAGAGGGATGGATGCGGTTCATGTAAGGCTTCGTGATTGTGATGAAAAAAGTACCTTATGTAGGTGATATTGGTGGTGTTTTGCAGTACTTGAGTTGAGTTGATGGATGTGGTGGATAGATGTTTCTGCACAGAACCTTTGTTCCCTTGATTCTCGGCAGGGAACACGCAGCCAAGACACTAGGATCTGAAGCGATAAGGGTCTACCCGGTGGCTTGATGGGGGTTATTTTTCTACAAGTAGACTCGTAGATATTGTGAGGACGCCATTCGCGAATGGCCCAAAGACGAACGTCGAG